CCGTTAGACTATCTATAGGCACATATATCTATATGTTTCAAATTTATTATAGCTTTAGTTTTACTGTGAAATTAAAACATGTTTTTTAAAAACATATGTCTGCTCATGGTCAATTTAATTTGTCATCTTACCATGTGAGGAAGTATATGTAGTAAAACACCACTTTATATCAATATACATACTTACACCAGCAGCAACCATCTTTTCATTCTAGAGTCAAGTGCCTTTTGAAATCACATATTTTACTATGATAGTAGTTAGTAAATTTACAAAACATAAAACTTAATTAAGTTAATTAACTTAAGTTAATGAGCTCCGTTTTACAAACCTGTGATACAAGTAGTCAGCCAAAATAAACTATCAATAGATCAATTAAAAGATTACTTGAGTTGTAAATTTGTGCTAAATTGGATAGTCTTTGAAAAGGTATATACTATTAAATTAAGTGCTCGGGGCAAGCTCCTCGCTCTAAATGTCATAGAACATACCTTTTCATAGACTAATCGATACTTAGAATATAGCAAAGTGCTCTCGGCCAATGAAATTGTAGGAGTTGGTGTTTCTTAATTGTGAAGAATGAGCGTAAACATGGTCTTAGTAAGGAATTATCCTATTGGTTATGCCTATTTACTGTTCAAAACAAAGAGTTTCTATAAACGAGTTACAAATGCCCCGAAGCACATTTATCAGCTTGAAAGGATTTTTGATTGAAACTGACTAAAAGTTTAATTTTAAAACGAACAACAAAATCAAAATAAGTTGATGTTTACTGGTGAGGTAAAACTGGTACCATTAATGGTATTATAAGAATATTAATAACTTCAAATTTACTAAAAAATTAAACAATATCAAAGTGATGCAAAAAAAAAGTTTTAAAATTAAATATAATCAAAATCTTTAGCTAATACCCTTACCAAAGCTCAGATAACTGGATCCGTTGTTGCTATGAACATTAATTTCCAATATTCCGATAAAATAAAGAAAAATGCAGGAATTTAATTGAACTTTTGAATATATATAACAAGCATTTTATTTGAACATTTAGTTTTAGTAAATTACGTCACACAATGAAGTAGTATTTGATGTAAAGAGCTGTGAAATAAAATTTAGTTGTAACTCAAATTATTTCCTCACTAAAATATTACATGATTTACATTCATACTCACAATTACGAAACTTATACACTACCTACTATTTCATCATACTGTTGTGTCATCTAACGTCTTAAATACAATTATACAATATTATTAATTTCCAAAATAATAAGAAAGTCCTTACATCACTAAAACTAATTCATAAATGAAATGAAATGGCTTAAAAGGAAGTCATACACTAGTTATAACTTTGCACTGACAATGAACCAAATTCTTGAATACAACAAATCAAGAGATCATTTGAGCCTTGAGCACTTTACAATATTCTAAGTTAATAAGATAATGATAATCCCTTTCTTCATGATAAGTCCTCGCTAAAGCTCGTACTTAATCATGAAGAAAGGGTTCATCATTCTCTTACATATACTGAGCAATTGAGGTATTCATTGTCCTTTCATTGGTCTTTTAAATTTTCCTAAAACCTGTCACAAATCTTTCAAACGTAAAATATTGTTATATGACTGTGGCGACTATACAAAATACAGACACTTTTTGTCCAGAGCTAATTAGAATTTAATAGCAGATTAAAAAATATTGAAGACGTGACGGCAAATATCACAAATACTATTTTAGATGCAGCCGATAAATGTATTCCAAATAGAATAATAACGGATCGAAAGGATCAACCACCTTGGCTTACTAATGAAATAAGGAAACAGATAAGGAAAAAGAATCGAATATATAAAATTGCTGAAAAACGTAATAATCCGAAAGACTGACATAAATTTAAGAAACTACGAAACGAAGTTACCAATTTAGTTAGAAAATCTAAAGAAGAATTTAACTATTCCTTGATAAAAAAAAAAGTTTTTAATAAGAACTCCTCTAAAAAAAAATGGTGGAAAATCGTAAATCAAATTACATATATGAAATCAAAAGACACAAGTATACCACCTCTTTATATTTCTCTCATATTTGATGAGATCGACAAAGCAAACGAATTTAATGATTTTTTTTTTGCATCCATGTCTAATTTTAATGACTCCCGCACAATTTTACCCGATATACCATTTAATGCTTCAACTTCTATTAACGAAATAGAACTTAACGAAACGGAAGTGGAAGACATTTTTAATAAAATTAATCCATCAAAAGCTTCAGGTCCTGACTTAATAAATCCAAAACTGTTAAAAGAGTCTTTAGCTATTCTTAAAAATACTTTGTGTAAATTATTCAACTGGTCCTTGCGTAGTGCAGTATATATATGTTCCCTCTTTATGCACTCCCCCTTTATAAATGAATAACCAAAATCTGAAAATAGTCGACAATCACAAACATATTGGTGTTTATTTTTCTAATAATGGATTTTGGCAAGACCATATCGAATACATCACGAAAATTTGTATTTAAGGGTCAATATGATTCTACGGAAAGTTAGAAACGTTGTCGATCGGTACACCCTGGAAAAATTTGTATACACTGTTTATAAGACCAATTCTTGAAAACACCGATGTTGTAAACTTAATACAAAGACTAGAAAATATCCAGCTAGATGCCCCTCATAGTTACGGGGGGGGGGGACTACACTCACGAATATTGGAAAATTATATGTTGAAACTCATTACGAAAAGTTTTCGGAACGAAGGGAAATCAAAGAGTGATACTCTGTCATAAAATTATAAATGACAAATCACCTAATTATCTCCATGAACAAATACCAGGTTTAGTAGAAAGTAGACATAACCATAAAACTAGGCAAAGTCAAAATATCTTAGAAATTAGTACAAGAACTCGCTTATATTTTGAATACTTTTCCTTACAGCCGTGAAATTATAGAATTAAATATTGTTTAGTATAAGACAATGCGAATATCTCTTTCTATTTAAAAAAAAACATATTGGTAAACAAAATAAGAACTTCCCACATATTATTATAATGGAAATCGCATTGGACAAATTCTCCATGCACGCTTGCGAATGAAGTCTAGTGCTTTAAACTTCAATTTATTTAAAAGTATTTTAGTGGATTCGCCAAATTGTCGTTGTGGTGCTATAGAGACAAGCTCTCATTTTTATGTATTAACGTGTCCTAACTATACTAACATACACCAAATGGTACTGATTCTTTTGTTGATTTCCCGCACCGTATTGTTGTAAATATTTTGATTTTTTGGGTCAGATATTTTAACTGATGAAGAAAATTGTACTCTTTTTGTATTAGTACAGAAATATAAAATGAAAAGTTAAAGATTCACACCATAATATGAAAACTTCATTTACATGTTTTCCTTGCATTTCATTCAGTTCATTTCATTCACTATTTGTTTTTCTCCCTTTTTTCTCAAACTTTATTACAATCTTATTTTGTATATAGTATAATTACTATATTCCAATTGACAGAGCATGCTCTTAGTATTTATTATATTCTATGTATATTATATTGGAGACAGATAAGAATAAGCAATGTTGCTTGTTTTGGATCCTATTGTTTATAATGTTTTATATTATATAACAGGATTTTTTTTATCGAATAAAATGTTATTTAAACCAAGAAACAACTGAACCATGTATTCTTGTGGTCAGGTAAAAATCATTACTTTGGAATGACGTAGTTGACAGTTATGTATTTTCTATGTTAAAAAAAAAACCATTCACATAATTCATTTATCGTTGTCAAAATCTTTCATTATTTCCTTGTTCAGAACAAATGACTTGTAACCGCATATTACCATGTGGAAATACATAAGCTTCCTAAGTACCTCCGGCTTTTGTTGGGTTATTCTATATGGTGCGCAATCATAAGATTTTATCATTATGATATCAATACTTCTGAGAATAACGTTATCTGAATGCTATTTTTGTGTCGTGATACTTTTATTTGACTTTCATCTAATTCTGAAATTCTAATTAGGTAACAATTGACCATACAATGTGTAATGAAAATACATTTACTAACAGAGGTTTTCACCAAGGATAACATACATTTTATCAGTTCATTTTTAAATTTTAAATTTAATAGATGGTACGATACCTATGTCAATATATGCGAAATTTCAATATATTGGATGAATTTACAAAAAGAAATACCTACGTATTGGGAAATATCATATAAGTCCAGTTAATTTAGATACACATTGTCATTCATATTTTTTTCTACTGCTACTGCTTTAGACTTTACTAGCGAATAAAATATCACTTCTTCGTTTTCCACTTTTGATGGAGCATTAACATTCATGTACAAGATGACAGGTAAAGATGACAGTTTTTTTTCTGAAATTCGTTCTATGGTATGATTTTAGATTTCATAGAATGATGTTCATAACAGCTTAGAGGACGACATTGATTGGCGTACTGAAGTGATATGTATTATAGATACAATGGATAAGCGTTAATTCTTTAAAAAGGAAACCATGAGCCAGGAGGGCTAACGGTTTGTGTTTCATGGATCAACGCTTATCCATTGTGTCTTAAACTATTGTGTTGATGCCTTTTCAAAATTTAAGCCTTTTCTTAATAAAAGGTATAGTAAGTGAGTTTAAATAACCATCTTATCATGTTCAACGAGGCATTAATAAATCAAAGTTCACAATTAATTGGTTAGAGAAATACAAATATAACATAACACGTCTGTCTTTGAATTATTATGCATCTGAATATTATCCGTAATTTACAAAATAAGACATATTCGAACTTATTTCTATAATAAGTATGTTGCCGAAATTTCTAGCAAAAAAACCTAATTCTAGGCACATCACGATATACTCGCATAGGGGTTTGCGAATTAACATTTGAAGAGATATGTAGTAAAACAGATGAAATCATACTATATTTATTAAACAAAAATGGACAAATTGAATGCAATCATGTTCTTTTCAAATACATGAAATAGCCAATAATAATCAAAAAATAAATTTGAAAACCTTCTTTTATTAGAAAAATATCCACAATATCATACAAAATAAGAAAAACGAAAAAACTAAAGAATAGGGACAACAAAGAGAAAATAAGAATTCGAACCTTAACTGACAAGTGTCTACTTCTAACTTGACTCTATAACTCATTGATACTAACCTCGCGGCTACCAACTTATACTATACGATTGTCTATTATGTATTTATAAGGTACAAGCCCTGTGTGTCCGTTGTACCAATGTGAATCATATGTTCATTTATATCTATAAAATAGACATCTAAATTGCAACCCAATGGTAGCCGAGAGGTTTCGTCGATGTGTTGATGTCAGTCACACATAACATACTTCAAGGAGGGGTTCGACTCCCAGTGAAGGCACATAAAAATTACATAAGTTAAAGCAAAGTTTTTAAACTAATTCTATAAGTGAACAGAAATCAGTACATTAGCCAATTCAAACTTAATGAAATTAGGCACACAAAAGAAACAATTGAATATAATTTGGTGAGTCCATTTCAGCGACTGATTTGGGAAGCGTTGATTTTAGAAATAGAAACCACGGTAAATGAATAGGCTGGCTGACGTCACGGCAATGGTTTAAACATGATGAGGTAATCGCGATTGTCATTGGATATCAACAACAATGGTCTTACACGCGAGGAGATTAAATTTGGGCCTCCATATGATGGTCCAAAGTTAAAACACGTTCCAAGTCTTTGTTTTTGTTTGTAGACTGAAAAATATCAAATTATACTTTGCTTTAAACGTTAGATAGAAATATTTAACTTAAACCATTAAAAATACTCAGTCAAAATGTTTATGAGTAAGATATGTTTTGCTAAAAAAAAGTCAGCGACGGACGTTTAGAAAAATATTGCTGTTACCATGCCCTGTGATGAGAGGAACGTTTTATTTCTCTTAGTCTGAATATTTTTTCACACTAGAAAACATTTAAAGTTTACGAAAACACAACGTTGTTTCCACAGGTCTAGGATGAAATATTTATTAATACCTTAAAATGATGACAAGAAATTGTGGGTTATTTTAAAATCTTGGATTCTGCTAAATGCCCTTATATTAAAGATGAAATCAAAAATTTTAAGAATAACTTGCACGGTTGAAATATGATAAGATCATTATATGCCGCATCGACATTTTCTGATAGCAAACTCACCAAACATACACCTAAGTCTTTTTCATGTATTTGCCTGGTTTGTCATTAACCCCCCCCCCCTTTTTGTCAATTTCTGATCATTTCTCCCTTAACAAAAAGTATCTTGATTTTCCCTTGAATAATTTTTACATGAAATCTATGTAGTTATTTGACATCTATAATCTTTTGAAAATGTATTAAAAAGGAATAGGGGAAATAACTGACATAGAAAAGGAGCGAAGTCCAGTCAACTGGTACACTTAAACATGTATTTATACGTACATTTATTTGTAACTCTACATGTTTATTGAAGCTGTTTAAAAAAAACCTGACTTGATATAATTATACTTTAGAGATTTGAAAGTTTAAGAATAAACAATATTAAGAGTTAGAGCAGGTACCCTCTGTAGGGCCCTCAATATAACTCTTGCCGGTTGTAAAAATAACACAATCGGTGACCGTAAAACAATGCACGGGAACCAGAGATGAATGAACTATCTGCATATTCAATTTTAGATAATCACACAATGTTTACACGAACGTTTGAAATTACAACTTTTTCCACATTTAGATAATTGAAATCTAAAATCATCCCCAATTTTGTCAACAGGTTTGTAGTTTACACCCACAAATTGACCTTCCTTTCCTTCCACTTTCAAACATCGATTTGTTGATATTTCATTCAGAACAATAAATGCGTAGTGGCGAGCCGGAATCAATTTGAAGTCTGATGATTTGCTGAATTCCTGAAGAAGAAAAAAATGTATGTTTATCTGCAATTATATATTAATATCTAAATATTGTTTAAATCTGATCAACTACTTAAAACATATGTTTATTCTGTTTAATTGATAGATTTAGGATTGAGCTGCATGCTTTCGGAGGATATTTAAGGCTTGACATGGGTTACATTAAATGTTTTGAGATAGAGAGCTAGTAAATCTACAAATTTGTAAACCCAGGTATAAACAGAATTGATATGTCAAAAAACTCATCATAGATACCAGGATTGAAATTTTGTATTTAAGCCAGACGCGCGTTTCGTCTACAAAAGACTCATCAGTGACGCTCAAATTAAAAAAAGTTAAAAAGGATTGAACGCAGTAGAAATAGCAAGAACTTCAAACAGAGAAATAAAACAAATCAGGTTAGCATCTCCTGAATCACAAGTTACTTGGACTTTGTAAACGATTCGCCAAGTTTGAACACGCTATATATTACGACATACTGTTTCAACTCCGGAATATCAAGTTCGACCTGGAACTATCAACGACGACATAACGTTTTGACCCGACGATATCACGTTTGACCTTGCGTTATCATAAAAAGCCTAAAAAAATACGAACACAAATATGTTTTGGATCAGAAAACTTCATATTGCTACTCACGACTTATATTTTACGATAGTTATATGTGGAAAGGTTGATATTTATCAGAAAGTACTCAAAACCTGAAACACAGAAAGCACAGTATAAGTGTCAAATATACCATACATTGTAGGAAACTTTATTTACATTTCCCAAACTTGTCCAAGCGCAGATGAATGTTTTAAAGGAAAAGGTATAATTAGAAAATTTTTCAACCGCTGAAAAGTCAAAAAAACGTTTTTTTAAATTTACCAAAAAACGTCCTTCAGATGTTCACAAGACATTAGTCTGCCTGATATCGATATTATGATTTGGGCTTTAAATACTTGTATTGAATGCTAAGCTATCAAAATATTACGAACATTTCTGCGCTGAAGTGTCCATTGTATGTCTACTTATTGGTTAATCACTTAAATTATCGCAATGTTGAAAAGATTGAAGAATTTTGTATTATTCTTTTTATTATCACGGACCAGATAATGTCTCTGATTATGTCGTCTATCAAACGTTCTCTAAAATCAATGGGTATACAGGCAAGACAAACAAGGACAACGGATACCTAACATTAAAAGATTGGAATAGAAATCAGGACCATTTATAATGGAAAGCTTAATCTGAGGACTAGTCGAAACCATATATAATTACATTGAGAAGATTAAGGTCGCCGTCATCTGTTACGTGAAGATATTTCTTTTCTCCGTTTTTAAATATTGTTGAATAGCGCCTGATGATAAAGGCGAACGTTTCCGTACTTTCAATTCTTCTGTTCTCCAGAAAACGACCTAAAAAAAAGAAATTTATCAAACCGATTTCAAGACATGAAGTTGAAAGTGATTTAGCATGAATAGTGGTTTAGTTCTATTTCATAATAGTTTCGTCAATTTGAAATATATCTGTTTGTGCACATTTTAAATGTCATATGTTTTTTGAGCAAAACCTTTGGCATTTGATACTATTACAAACAAAAAGGAGAGAAAATACTATTTGGTTAAGTAAAAACGAAAAGTGGACGTAATCTAGTGATCATTAATAGACAAGTGCAAATATGATATATCACGCTCAAAATCGTCCCGAGTATAGAAAAATTGTGAATAAATTATACACAAAATATTAAAGTTCTGCTATCAATAACAAGTTATCTAAATAACAAAAACAACAAGATAACCACTGACGAGGTTTCTGACCTAGGACAAGCATTTTATATATGATGGAGTAAAAGCGGTTCCCACCATTTCAATCTTGATCAGGGGACCTTGTTAAGGCCCATAAAAGGACATGCAATAAAATCCAGTGTAGAATGAACCTCTATGATAACGATTTAATACATTAAGAAAATAACAGTTCAAACAAAAAATATTTACCATAGTAAAAATTACTACATTTCAAAGTAATCATTGAGATTATTTTATTTACTTTTAAATTATGAGACCTAGTCGTTTTGTTCATCCTAGATAATGAAAGTATGTCTATTAGGTCGGAACTTATAAGCATTTTTAGGCCACATGTGCAAACGTACTATTTCACCATATGTGTACACTCGCTATATGTATATACCCAAATTGTACAACCTGAGTGTTTCAGTGCAAAGAAATGATATAATAACTGAAGCACACATTTGATAGCTGTATTATTTGGTTTTTACCTACATTTGAGAAATTCGCATGCCTTTGTATGTGGTTTCCCGGAAACGAGTCTTTCAAAATCGATTCTAGTACTCTGTTTTTCCAAGTGCTGCATAAATTTATCTGTCCCAGATTTATTTAAAACAACCGTGCGCTCCCATTTCCTGGTCCAATCAGTGCTCACCAAAAATGAAGAGTCATTAATTAAACGTGCTTCAATAGTTTCTGAAATTGAAATTAAATGCACGATGCATTTAATCAGTCTTCATATCTATTGCTCGATTATACGGTTTACTCTTAATTCTATTCGTGTGATTCATGCTTACAATTTAGGTATTGATTACATTAACTGATTTTTCGATGATACCTGTATTATTTAAGCATTCAAATTATCATAAAAGTTAATTAAAACGTCATATCAAAACAAATATTTATATTTGCATTAGTATTGTAATTTCTATTGACAATTTCAAACGAATGTTAATTGTTTGTTGAAACTTACTTTCAGATAAACATAAAGAAAAGTTCACATCTGTAACAGAGTTCGATGAGGGTCTCCAGTAAATCTATACATAGCATAAACACAAATATAAATGGTATTCAATAATATTAAAAGATGCATGCTTTGATTCAGCAGATTTCATTCGAAGAATTACTCTTAAGCAATCATGGCGATAAAGAATTTGGAGAATCTCAAACTGATTTGGAGGAGATAGCACAAGCGAAATGACAAAAAAAGTACTAGTATACTTATTTTAAATTGTTTACAGATTTTATATGTGTGTCAGTATGCGATGCGAGTCTTGTATATTGAGAAAATCATATGACTTTTTTATTTTATTCTTATGGTTATTTCACATTTAAAATCTTTTAGGAAAGAACTAAGCATATTTACAACACAAGTACAACAGAGTCGAAAGATACCAAAGGGATATTCAAACTGTAATTTAGTGGTTGTCGTTTTTGCTGTATATCATATTTGTTTTTCGTTCATTGTTTTGTACATAAGTCGGGCCGTTAGTTTTTTATCGTTTGAATTGTTTGCATTGTCATTTCGGGACCTTTAATAGCTGACTATGCGGTATGGATTTTGCTCATTGTTGAAGGCCGTACGGTGACGTATAGGTTTAAACTTCTACATGTCATTTGGTCTCTAGTAGAGAGTTGTTTCATTGGCTACAGTAACAGATTAATAACATACACAAAGATAATTTGTTTATGTAACGTGTATATAATAAGTAAAAACAATAGACATACGATCGTTGTATTTTCATTTAAAGGTATTTTTTCTAAGAGCTCCAAGACTTCATTATGAGGCATAAATGTAACATCTTTATCGTATATATCAAGAAATTGATCACAATTTCTGCAATAGAAAACATTAACATTCATTTGAAGAGTGCATTTCCCCGGTTAATTGTAACAACTTCTACGAGCATGAGTTGTTTTAATTATTTTGATAGTACATGCAGACATGATGAATATCAGACATAAATCTTTTTTGCGATGATCAACTAAGGAGATAACTGTATTGTATTTTAAGCTTGGCCTACATAAAACGTAGATTTTACTGTCGCAAATTAAGTTTACCTAGCGACGTTAGACGTATTTATACTTTTCGTTTGCTTGTGAATGGTTTAAATATTGACAAAAAGAAGATTTTGAGGTTCAAAATGTGACTTTTTTGTTTATTTTTTGAGAAATTACATACCAAAAAAAATTCAAAATGGTAGCTTTCGTTAGTTACGGACTGGTAGAACGTGGAATCAAACCCTTCAAAATATTTGTCAACGTCCAATGAAAATTATCGTTCCAAACGAATTGCATTTGAACTAAGAAATAATCATTCACATTCCATTCAACAAAATATATTCAATACCACCTTACATGTTACTTTGATGACCTTTAGCCTTAGGAATACCACTTTAAAAATGAAAAGCAACCACTCAATCAGATTTCAAAACCATCATTGGATCTATGGAAAATAATAACTTTCTTTATATTCAAATTAACAGTATTTTCCATTCAACAAAATGTATTTAATACCACTTAACATATTACTTTAATGTCCTTTTACCTTAGGAATACGACTTTAAGAATTAAAAGCAACCACTCAATCAGATTTCAAAACCGTCATTGGCTATATGGATAATAATAACTTTTTTATATTTAAAATAACAGTATTTTTTAACAAGAATATAAATTGGTAGAATCTCGCCTTTTATCAAATGTAAAAGATACAAAATTGGTAAAATGATAAGTAGAGGGACAGTTATCATATATAAAAACAAGAAAAGGACAAAACAACAAGCAATAACCAACAAGGTATTTTTACAGAAATCATAAGATTGAGCAACAGTTAACCCACAAATATCTGAAAATAGTAGTAGGGTAATCAGTTATTGATCCATGAGCGTTTAAACAGCACAAACATAAAATATCATTTGTCGTCATGCAGCATTCAACAAATAAGCTGAAAGTGATTGAGCATGAATAGCTGTAAATTCAGACGTTTTGATAGTTTGAACATAGTAGGGCCATAATAGACATGATAGAAGTAACCGCATTCGTTTAAGGTAGCATAAAAATAATTGGCCGTGTGACACATTAAAATGAATTATAAATTGAAACATGATTGTGGAAATGGTTGAATATTAAACTTCATGAACATGATACACTTAAAAGGTTTGCCCCTGTATAACATGCTTAAGGAACATTATCCATATATTAAATAACTAATACATGTACTTTAATAACGCACAAAGTTTTTACAGCAGATGTAGTGTTGTTGCCTTTGCGTGCAAAAGATGCTGTCAATAAAACAGGTAATACTCCTGACTTCAAAAAATAAGAAAATAGGTTAAATAATTAACAATAAAATACAATACATGACTAGATTTTTTACCAAATACACTAAATTATTTTTTACTTTACTATGAAAATACTTATCAAAGATACCAGGCTTGTTACGCCAGACGCGCGTTTAGTCTACATCAGATTCATCAGTGGCGCTCGCATAAATAGTCGGAAGGCAAAAATCAAAAACGAAGTTTAGGAGCATTTCAAACAAAAAAATCCACAAAAATTTGTGACAAATACGGTTATATATCATAACATGGGGATAGAAAAACCTTAGTGTTTCGAATAATTAAAAACATCAGACATGCAATTGAAAGTTACCAAGGATAAAATAAAGAAAAAAAAACAATGTTTAATAGTCATTTATTAATTATGGATGAAATATCTAGAAAGTTTTCTCTCAGGAACAACGGTACCCCTACGTCTCTAATAATGATAGTCTAGAAACAGAATCATGCCGATTTATCTTAAACGGTTTTCAGTTTTCTTCGTGGATTTTTTTTTCCTGAAATTTGTACAGTTGCTTCCTTTCCTGTGATAATTCAGTATCTATGTAAAGGTTTTCGTCGATATTCTTGTGAAACGGTCAAATTGTATCTATGTTCAAGAAACGATAAACCGATGTATACGCAAAGGATTTTCTAAAGCTTATTGCAAAACTTTTTACAGCACTATTGAAGATAACTTTGAGACAATATTGAGGTCTACTAAACTTGTATTGTGAATATGACGCGGACGTTTTAGTAAAGTTCAAAGTTTATTGCAATGTTATTAAATATTAAGACTTTGTACAGTTGCTTTATAAAAAATTAAAAACTTTTTTATACTGGAGGTGATTTAGATTTGATCTGGATCTTTTGCTTGAATTAATTGACACAATTGGACGACTTCAAATGATAATTTATAACAAATATGGCTATTTCAGTTGGGCCGTTTCTCAGCAGTAGCATACCTATTGTCCCATCGTACGGCGTTTTGCCTTTTTCGACTGATTCGCTTCGCACGTGCATGTTTAAATTTATAATTGCTCTAACGCAAAAACTATTCCAGGTGGGTAGTAATAAAGAACGATTGAAATCGACACTGCAAAGTTTTACGGTCGTCAACACGAATTTGTTGACTAAAACGATGTATCTCTGTCTCTAATCACAATATACATGCTTTAATGATCTGTAAATATACTGATTGTGTCTTTTTTCTATAATGACATTTTGTATGTGCGGTTTCGCAGGCGATTGATGCATGCATAGTTGATGCGAACTGCACCTGTTTCCCTGATCTTAAAAGGAATCCGTGCTGCCGATATTCCTTGTCGGTATGTGTCTTTTCTTTTTTATTGCACATCTACCTTGGGTCTTTATATTTGTTTGTCTCCTTCGTGTACTGTAATCGGAGCTTGAAATGCTGATTACCTTTTAATATACGCGACACGGTGTATTTTACCTGTTATGATGTAAAGTATTCGTTGTTTGGATAATCTTATTCAGAATTAACCTCCCCAACTGAACATAATGCAATTATGTGTAAGTACAATACCTTAGTTTCAGTGCTGAAGAGGCTGTCGTTGTTGAATCCATTATAAATATGTGTTGGAAGCCTTGATTTGCGATGTACCGTGTTTCTATGTTTCCATGAAGCCACTGAACTGTCTTCACTTCTGATTGTTCCATTCCTAAATCTGAAATGTCTGGGTTGTTTTCCTTAATGTGTGACATATAAGTAAATTATTACTGAGAGCGACCTCATATCTCAATAATGGATTTTTCTTTATCTAGTACTTTCAAACCCAAAAATTTGAAAACAGGGACGATAAATAATTAAACAAGTTAGGGGTTAAAATGACCAAATGAGACCGAAAAAGAATATGCAAATCCATCTATAAATCAATTTGGGTTATTTCTCATCCTAGATAGTAATGGTTCGTTCAGATAAAGAGACAATTTATCATTTATAGACCATCAAACATAATTTTAAAGGATAACCCAAATTAACCGAGATGAATTCGAGAACATACTACGGCAGGTTCTTTGGGAAAAGTACCATGTCGGCGTATGATCAGGCTCTGTTTTGAGTATATGCATTTCCCTCAAATTTTAGGTTTATATTTTCAAATTGGATTTATTATATTTGAACATCGATAAACTACATTAACGTTTGATCCACACACATTAAATGTGACTATTTACAGGTTATATATTGATAGAAGAAAAAACCATTCTAAAATCATATTACAGTTTCTATCTTCAAACTCTGATATCACTTTTCAACAAAAGTCGACAAAAGAAGGTTAAAACGTCTTACCAAACGTACGGATACAAAATGTCCAAGAATAAGTTACCTTTATTGTCTATTGTCATATAAATAAGATGCAATAAGGAACGTTTCTTTTGTTTTATCTATGTTAGATTTCATTTAATACCTCAAATGGGCTCTGTGTAGATTTATTCTTTGAACTCGAAGTATGCTGTTCATCGTGGTCAGTATCCTGCCTTTCACTCTCTGTAGAACTAGATGTGCCCGTGTGTTTGCCTGAATTAAAGAATACATACTTTTGTTACATTTTGTTATTTCCCTGACCGAATGAACGCAATAGTGTCGAGGTAAAGAGACAGAGGATTATTTACGAAACAATGTTTCGAAATGTATGTTTAACAAATCCATGGCAATACCGAAATTTTGATGACTACTACTTGGTGATGGAAAATTTAAATCCAAGGATGTATAATAGAAAAACAAAGGATATGGGGTATCCATGACAAAAAATCAGTACATGCACAGCAAAAAAAAAACACAAAAAGCAAACGAACAGCGCTTTTATTGCTGTTCTTCATCTCAAAGTCACAGTGAGGCCTTCAACACGGAGCAAAAAAACTCTCACCTCACTGCAAGTTTAAAAAGGCCCCTAGCACCGGCTTGAGCGGAATTCTTTGCAAAAATAATTTGGATAGACTTTGTAAGATGTAACACCACCTACTCGGCCCCGGTCAAAACAGAACATACTTGAAAGTAGTACATATTTAAAACAAAATAGTTCCTACGCGTAGGTGTAAATCATAAACTATGTAGCATATATGTTAGTAATTATGGTATCATATGAAAGGTCTATAACTACTAAAAAACTTAAGGAGCTATAGGAAAATAGAGAACTAAAAGATAAGTCAAATCCATCTAAGTAAACTGTGCCGAAGATTTATTTTTTTTATCTCCAAACAGTTTTCATATTATATACAGCTAACAATAAAAGGAAGGGTCCATTTTGTTGAAAGGGTTTTAATTATATTTTTTGGTATTTTTCTGACTACAGATCCTTTTCCTGAGTTATCTTAAGTTTCGACAACACAGAGCAATATTAAGAAAGCTGATATGTTCAAATCATAAATCTAGTATTTCTGATTAATTCTTGGTCTGATCTATGGAAGAAACTTTTGTAATTAAAGTGTAAATTTTTTCACTTATCCAACTATCCGTACAGTTGTTTTCAGACTTTATAGAATGGAATACTAATTATACTGCACCAGATGCGCATTTTGACAATTAATGTCTCCTCAATGATGCTCAAGGTCAAAATATTTGAAGATCCAAAACATAAATACAAACTTTGAAAAGATTGTGAAACCTAAAATTACAAAATGAAAAAGCCAAAGTCAAGCCATGACAAGGAATAAGAGCCAAGCTTGAAGGAGATACACTCCTTTATTGAAAAAAAAATATCGAAATTTTATGCAAACAAATTTCAATAAAAAATATTTGTTATCCCAGTACAGAACTACTAGCTATTGGTGATATCATCGGGACTAACAGTCTACCAGGAATCTACCCAGTGGTAGTATTATTTTTCATTGAAGTAAGGGGTCAAAATATTTTAAAATACAATATCAATACAAACGTTGAGGATATTATAAAACCAAACAGGACCTAAAATACAGCTAACCCCATACAAGATATCAGAGCTATGCATGAGGAGATACATTACTTTACTTGAAATGATTTCCAAATTTTGTAACACAAATTTCATTAAGAAAAATCCGAATTTAATGGTAGTACCGAAATACTGGCTACTTGGCTGGTGATACCCTTCGAGACTTACTATGCACCAATAGAGGTATCGACACAGTGGTAATAATACTATTGACAGAACAAATTTTAATAGACGAAAAACAATGACAGTCTTTGTTATTAAGTTCTGTTCGAAGTAAAAGAAGAAATACATTATAGATAACAGACAAATATCTCCGAAACTTCTTTAAATATTTCGAACTTATTTACCACAGCAACTGAGATAGTGAATGAATTTTCAATATTACTAACTGAAATGCATATTTACCTATTTGACAATCTATATTGTTCATATATTTTAAATATGATGAATTCAAAAGTCTTTATTTATATAAGATTGTTAATATATATATCTATATTTTTATAATCGTTTGTATCAATTGGATGGATCCACTTACAACTTTTGTATGCATACTTTTCCAGAGAAGTGTCCTAAAATGACATAAATCACTTTCTACTGCATATACAGGTCGATCGAAGTTTCAAGATGAGGTTTTCCCTGTTGCTACAGTACATGATAGAACTATAATAATTGATATATTCATTTGTCATACGTTTTTGACCGCTGAAATAAGGCATTTGACCTAGTTTGCTTTTTCAAAATCGAGTAGTTTGATGAGTTTTCTTAATCAACCAGATTCCTCAGAACGAAAAGACAAACACGTCCACAAAACACGACACAGAAAACTAAAGACTGAGCTATCAGAATAGAATTGAGAATGGAATTGGGAAATGCGTCAAAGAGACAACAACCCGACCAAAGAGCAGAAAACAGCCCAAGGCCACCAATGGGAAGCCCACCCAAAAATGGGGGTGATCTAAGGTACTCCGGTAGGGTAGGCAAATCCTGCTCCACTAGTCGAACTCGTCAGGTTGATCATGGTAATTACACATGCAATGCTAAGTATCATTCGGGGATGTCACAATCGAGGAAAATACAAAGGGGCAAAACATTGGAATGGATGACTTCAACTTTACCACTTGGAACTCTTGGTTCAATAGCTTTCATTTATGCAGCAATCCTCTATCTAGAATCATGATGAGGAACATAAGCTCTGGAATATCGTACGAACAGTGGGATATATATTCCATATGCAGGCGCTGCTGGAATGTTGCTACATGTGCACAGAAATGGATAGTATACTTCTAGATATAGTCAACATACGAGGTAGACTTAATTGTGTCTTTGATATTTTTGATTTCAAGTTCGATGGGATAGATGCGTTTAACATATTCACCTCACTTTGAATTATTTAGTGAGAGGACATCATCGATATAGCGGAACGTGAAGTTAAAGTATCAAGTATAAAGTATCCTTCTTATCATTTTTCCTGAGAAGTTTATGTGTGAATTTAAAATAAGGTGATGTGTTATGATTGCCAATGAGACAACTATCTACTAAAGCCCAAATGAAGTTTGTTTCAAATGAATGAAGGAGCAAGTCGGCAAGAAAAGGAGCACACTTTGTTCTCATTGAAATGCCCATTGTAAAAAGAAAAACACGTCCTCCACACGTAACAAATATGTTTTTAAAAAATTAAGCATCTTGATTGTGTCAGATTCATAATTTGTTTTTGTTTGAAACAGATTGTAGTTTACAAAAATTTATTTATCCCTTCCTAAATCAAGATATTTATATCTACCTTAGCTAATCTTTTTAATGAAACAAATTTGGTCTTATTATTTCATTCTGTCTTTAAGTTAAGAATGGAGAATATTTTTGTAAACAGAAGTCAAATGTTTGATACCATTGCAAGAGGAAAAGGACAAAGAAGGTATAAACTCTAGCAGATCTATGGAATCTTTTAAGTATCCACATCTTATTCACACCACCCCTTGAGTAGGTAGCATGTCAAAAGATGATAGGCTACCAGTATTTGGTAAGTTTATTCTTTATCAGAAAAATATATGCATGGCTTATACTTCATTTGCGGTTTTCGGGATGAGTTTGAGTTAAGTAACGTTGTTGTGTTAACGACAACGAGAAAGCTCCATAAACTCAAAATGTAAGTTCAATGTTGATTGCCTTTAAAGGTTGTATAAAAATAAGAAGATATGGTATGATTGCCAATGAGACAACTCTCCACAAGAGACAAAATGGCGTAGAAGTAAGCAACTATAGGTAACCGTACGACCTTAAACAATGAACAAAACCCACACCGCATAGCAAGCTTTAAAAGGCCCCGAAATGACAAGTGTAAAACAATTCAAGCGAGAAAACTAACGATTTATGTACAAAACAATCAACCAAAAATAAAGATGATGATATATAGCAACAAACGACAACCACTGAATTAGAGGCTCCTGACTTGGGACAGGCACATACAGAATGTGGCTGGGATAATCATATTTGCGGCCACGCCAACCCTCTCCTAACCTTGACCAGTGGTGTAACAGCACAACATAAGAACAGCCTATAAAATGAGCTGTGTTTTGTTTACCATTAATCGTGTCATGAATACACCTATTCTCTTCCCAATGCCCAGATTATAGATAAATTGATATAGTTGTTCATGACATCCCTTAAAATCCCACGTATTACACATACTGGGTAAAAAGCATTGTCTTGTTTGCATCCTATCCATAGAAAAAAATTCTTAAGTTGTAGTCCACCTTTTCGTTAAAATTTTGCAGATAAAAAAATTTCATAACCTGATAAAACGCACCAAATCTTTTATAATACAGATTAATCTAGTACATTCCATGTGTGTATGCTATAGTCTGTGCAAAATGCTCTTATTCTTATCAGATGATATAGGTAAAGCCCAATTTCGAAGACTGAAATAAAACTTTTTTAGATTGTATCAAAAACGTTAAAAAAAAATATAGAAACACTTTCAGATAGATTTCCGCTGCACATTTTGATAAAAAATACGTCTGTTAAAAACAGTATTGAGAAATTACTTTTTTTTAAAGAAATAATTCCTTCGTGTCATGCTCCATGCTCATTTTAACATGGGTAGGCATTATATTTGTCGATATTTTAACGCTCAGTGTAAAATATAGACAAATATAATGCCTACCCATGTTAAAATGAGCATAGAGCATGACATGAAGGAATTATTTCGATTCTAATAGGACACATACGGTATTTTTATAAGTCGAAGCGTACGAAAATACCTTAGGAATATTTGCCTATTCCCGTTTACTCCCCATGAATTATGTACATTACATTTTCATATTTAATAAGTTTAAAAACTAATAGCAGGTTAAATATATGATGTTTTAATAACAAGATATAATAAAATTTTAAATTCTCCCTCATGAATTCGTCCGAATTTAAAACATTTCTATACTAAATACATGGCTAAATAAGAGACAAGTCATAATTTAGGTTTGTTTGCTCGCAGTAACTTTCTTATTTTCTCAGCGAAACAACATTTAATATCTTGTAAATATTTTACAAATTACAAAAATATACCACAATTCCATCTATATACATTCACAATGTCCTCTAAATACATATCAATACAAACATAACTGTAATATATTATGCAGAGCTTAACGTTAACTTCGTCTATCAAAGTTACTGGAGCACATCGATAATAATCAAACGTAATCAGGACTTATATATGCCTATAAAACCCCACCCGTACTACCGCCCTCGAAATATTCGTGCAGAAAACAACAGTAACATCAGACCACTTCTGATTTACATACTAGCCAAACTTGTACCACAAGTCTAAAGATAGAAATAGAATAGGGAAATTCCAAATATAACGGAATAGAAATAAATGTATGTATGCTACTAAAATAAATATATTTTATTAGGATAAAAATGAAAATAAAGAGAATGTTAACAGTCAGTTTATGCGCATGAGTCAAAAATAGATTGTGCTAATTAGAACACGGCTTTGTTTACAAAGCGTAATAAGGACGTCATATTAGAATATCAAATAAATAACACTGAAAACTGTTTTAAAAAAAGGAAAATCATATGACAAATATAATTTTAAAGTACTCGTAATGACGCGAAAATGCAAAAACATGAAGCAAATCAATAATTCTCATGTAGAAATACCTATTGACACTATTAAAGTTCACTCACTTTTTAGGAAGTCTGTATGTCGAGGTAATCTATTGACATTAATACTTTTGTAAAATTACTAACTTTGAGGAAACAAAAAGACCGTCATTTTTAAGACGAAAACCATCTAGCATGTTACGACAAATGCTTTTCATGCTCATTGCGCTCTGATAAAACTTGAAAATATCCTTTTTGTGAATATTCTTTGAAATTCAGTAATTTGGTTTTGAGGAAATATGTATAAATGTTGTACGTCATTTTTAAGATTTTGCAAAGTCCTGGTTGTATTGTGTTAAAACCTAAATAATCAATCGAGTTAAAAATATTAAATTCCATTAGGTAAGATACTCGGAAAGATTCCCTGAAAGTTTCGTTGAAATCCATCAGGAGGAGTTACGGACATAAAGTCCTGACGTTCGTACTAACGATTAGACATCATATACTTCAGTAAGCGTAATGTGGATGTGAAATATTCATCGTCTTTTTACTTACAATATTATTTATATATCATATGTGGATATAATTGAAGTATTTTGTCATTATACCGATGATTTAACTGTACTTACCACTTTCGACGGGAAAATCCTCCTTTTCTTCAATTTCATTGTTCATATCTTTAATTCTGTATCTTCAGTGCCGATTAGAAAATTTAACCGTGTAAAATGCTAATTTTTTTCTTTATTGATCAATGAATAAAACAGCTTCTGTTCTATTGTTTAACTCAACGCATACTTGACATATTTTTATGTTACCGTACTTGTAATAAATGAAATATGTATTTAAGGTCATTTGCATTTTAATGTCATAATCAATCATTACTTACATCCGTGAATGTACATGTTTGTGAAGTACTTAAAATTATCATTTGTAGTGCACCAACTGACGTGTAAATGCATTGAACACAGAGCTACTAGTAAATTTGTGACAATTTGGTTTTTCCAATAATGTATAATAACTTTGATGAATGTTTCTTTTTGGATAATATGGCATCAAACTTGAAAAATAAATCACGTAGCTTCTTATGGACGATTTCCCATACGTTAGATAACAAAAACACATGACGTATAACCGATTGTCTTTTGTTGAAAACCTTGTAATCAATTACATTGGATGTCTTTTCCGGGGTTTTTTCAGTTATCTGTCTCGATGACTTATACTTCAGGCATGTCTTCTTTAATTCAACAAATTTAAATATTAATTATGACATAAACATGTGTTTGATTGCACATTATTAATTTTGGCATATAAGAAGAACACAAAGAATTTTTTGTAACTTCGGTACACACAAAAAAACATTATAAAAATGAAGTTTTAAAGATTTACTAAATAGATGTTTTATACAGTTTAAGGCTGCGCCCTAAAATAGACCTAAAAACTAACAAATTTTTTACTCTGATAAGAGTCAAACTCAAGCAGACGTTATAACTGAGAGGACTTGCGAATACTCAAAGGCATTTTGCTTGCCAACTAAATCGACAATTATATTGAAAGGTCAATGTCATTCTGCACATTTCATGAAACTGAATATGCATTTGGTCACTTAAAATAATGATCAGAAAACAAAAGATAAAAATACATATCTTGATCTCCCAATGTTTAAAAGGCTGAAGTGTGTATAACTAAGGAAATGTTTAGTAGAATAAACCTTTAAAAGGTGTAAAAGAGGGACGACAGATACCAGAGGGACAGTCAAACTCATCGATCGAAAACAAACTGACAACGACATGGCCAAAAATAAAAAGACAAATAGACAAATAATAGTACAGATGACACAACATAGAAAACTAAAGACTAAGCAACACGAACACGATGTAATGTATATGCCATATGAAAGTTGCACGCCCCGTGTCGTGTGTGTGTGTGTGTGTACTTAACTTTAACTAAAGGTGCTCTTTTGTGGTAAGATCATATTGGATTCTAGTCAATATATATTAAAAAAATAACTTTTTTAGCAAATTTAGTAAATTCTTTTAAATTGATTTCATTGTCATTTTGAAAATGACAAAAAAGTATGTCATAATTAATACACGAGATTAATAAGTATTTTTTTTTTTTTTTTTTTTTCTTTTATCGGATTTTTTACTTTACTTAGTTTCACTTTGTGTGTTCGAAATAATCGGGTGTTGGTGTACGATGTGGTTTGTTATAGTGTCATGTTTTTGTTTAAATTCCTGTTATCTTTTTAATTTGTTATCTCTTAATAATATATAAATAACGCATAGCTGAAAGGGTGATAGAGCAAATAGTGACCCCGAGAAAACATTGTCCACTGAGACAAAGCCATGGCGTTTTCAGATTTTACTGGTATTGCATTGAAATAAAAAGGAAAATTTATTATCAACATAAATTGTATATGTACATTCAATTGTATGTGATAAACATTATATGAAATAAGACATTGTTTTCAAAATATGTTACATTTAATATCTTGCAAAGCGTTATTAGTAATCCTGATTTTACTTTCTTATAAAGCTTTGTATTATTTATCTACACAGTCTATGTTAACATGTTCAATAACGTATGAGTCATGAATATATAAAGGGTATATCAACACATGTTATTCAAAGCTATATCAGTAAAACACATAACCGCAGAAGTATGCAACAGCATAGAACTTAAAAAAAAGCAAACAAAAAGGCATATAATACATTTTTTTTTGTATAAGAAAACATACTGGTCTGGACATTAACAATATACAGCCATGAAAATATTATAAGCATTACAATCATATAGTACGCATAGAAGGAAGTAAGAATTATGAATCATCATTTTTCAGTTCATAGTCTAAAACTAGATTTAGATCACATAGTGGTTCACAATCTTATAAAAATTTTACAAGAGTATTAGAGACTTCTAAATAGTAGGTCATTTTTGTTTCGCATTTCACCCTTCATTGACTCAAAGACTTGATCAAGGTATGAATTTAGGGATCGTCAATAGTTGCCAAACTGTCCCAGTTATTCGAAATTTCATGGGATTTTTGGGGGAAATTACATGGTTTATCAATGGATCCAGTAAAAGAAGAAACATAATGCAATATTAGTTCAAACTGCCATTTAAAAAAATCAATTAGATTTTGATATGTTGTATGGCGAGGAGGGAAGGGCGTATTTTTAACAGGAAAAACGGTGCATGCTGACATTTTGTGAAACCAGATGGACGTCTCGGGTAGACACTTTGACATGACTTCTAAATAAATATGAACAGATTCTTGACATATTGAGAGTAATCGAGAACAAAACAAGTCGACATTCTGATGCCACCTCAAAGTTTCAAAATTTTAATAGTTGCTGTGGTTTCTCAATTTGTACTCTGATACATGCAGTCTTTGTCGATTGCGACCCAAGCTGTTGCATATAAATTGGTGGGATCTTATATTCAAGCTAGACTTTTTGGTGGATACAATGGGTGATTTACGTGAAAACTGTACTGAATATTTCAATCTTTTATTCGAAAGGGTGTCTATCAATGCATCAGAAAATGAAATACAGTGACGAAACCTAGTACGTCAGATCGACAAAGACATAGAGCAAACGCTGTAGCAAAATCAATTGAAGAGCAGTTTAGAATAAATATATTAAACACTTTCATTGGCCATGTAATCAGTAACACCCATGCTCTTTTGGTTTTATTTGAAGACACGTTACCTCAACAAACTGAATGACGATGTATTGCAAATATTGGTAGAGGAATACAAAAAAAAGGATATTCCGATTCAAGACAATTTCCCACAAGAACTCCATCGGTGGCGCACAAATGCAATATGCACAATAATTCCGTCCCGAGATCTTGCACCTTTGAAACTGTGCTGAGCTATACTTCTGGCTTATATCCGAACATCAGTCGTATTATCCAAATATTGTTATGTTTGCCAGTTGGTTCATGCTGCTGTGAACGTTCCTTTTCAGCTCTTAGAAGGCTTAAAACATAGATAAGATCATGACCGAGTCTAGTCTGTGCGGCTTTTTGATGTTAAACATGCATAGAACATGTAAAAGTGACACAGTGGGTGAAAAAGACAACATTTCAGTACTAAAAAGATAGGATGCATGTGGTCATCGTAAGATTAATCCCGCTTTTGACCATTTGGAATTTGGGTCCTTAATGTTCTTTAACTTCGTTTTTTATTTGGCCTTTTTAACTTTTTTGATTCGAGCGTCACTGAGTAGTCTTTTGTAGACGAAACGCGCGCCAGACGTACATAATTTTAATCCTGGTATCTATGATGAGTTTATTCCCTTCACTGGGTCGGTGCCAATGCTGGTAGAAGTTTCCTTCCCGAGGGTATCACCAGCCCAGGAGTCAGAACTTCTGTGTTGACATGAGTTATCATTGATATGGTCGTTATTATAAATCAACTGTTTACTAAACTTTGAATTTTTCGAAGTACTAAGGGCTTTCCACCACAGGAAAGATAACCATGGCTGTATTTGGCAAAACCTTTCGGAATTTGGGTCCTCAATGCTCTTTATCTTCGTATTTTCTATGACCTTTTCAACTTTTTTTTATTCAAGCGTCACAGATGAGTCTTTTGTAGACGAAGCGCGCTTCTGGCGTACAAAATTTTATTCCTGGTATCTATGATGAGATTTTTACAACAAGTGGGTTAATGCCACTGCTGTTAGAGGTTTCCTCCCCGAGGGTATCACCAACCCAGTAGTCAGCACTTATGTGTTGACATAAATTATCATTGATATGGTCATAATTATAAATTTACTGTTTACGACACCTTGACTGTTTCGAAAACTATGGATTTTTTTACCCCAAGAATAGATTATCTTAGCTTATATTTGCAAAACCTTTCGGAATTCTACGTCCTCAATGCTCTTCAACTTTAGTACTTTATTTGACCTTTTTAACTTTTTTATTCGAGCGTCACTGATGAGTCTTTCGTAGACGAATCGCGCGTCTTGTGTACAAAATTGCAATCCTGGTATATATTGAGTTTGTTTACAACCACTTGGTCGATGCCACTGCTGGTGGAGATGTTTTCCCTGAAAGTTTCACCAGCTTAGTAGTCAGAACTTCTGTGTTGACATGAATTATCATTGATATGGTCATTATTATAAATTATAAATTAACTGTTTACAACACTTTGAATTTTTCGAAATACTAAGGATTTCTACCCAAGGAATAGATTATCTTAGCTGTATTTGGCAATACCTTGCGCAATGCTTGGTCCTCAATGCTATTCAACTTCGTACTTTATTTGGCATTTTTATTTTTTTTATTCGAGCGTCACTGATGAATCTTTTGTAGACAAAACGCACGTCTGGCGTACATAATTTTATTCCTGGTATCTATGGTGACTTTTTTTACAGCCCCTGGGTCGATGCTACTACTGGTGGAGTTTTCCTCACCGAAGGCATCACCAGCCCTGTATTCAGCACATCTGTGTTGACATGAATTATCCTTATAAATTAACTGTTTACAATAACATTAACGGTACCAATTTACTGTACCAGATGCGCATGTCGACAATAAATGCTCGAGGCCAAAACATTTGAAAAGCCAAACCTTAATAAAAAAATGAAGAGATAATAAAACAAAAAGGACACAAAGTACAACAAAAGCCGGACAAGGAATCAGTGCTTTGCACGAGGGAGATATATTACTTCATTTAAAATAATTTCCAAAATTTTGTAACAGCAAATTTTAATAACACAATATCCGTATTTTCATACCAGTACTTAAGTACTAGCTACTGTGCTAGTGATACCATCGGAAGGGATTAATGTTCAGTCCTCCAGCAGAAGTATCCCTTGTAGCAGCAATTTTAAAAATATATACGTCCTTTCATACAATACCTACATGTATTGAAGTACTGGCTCCTGGGCTGGTGATACCCTTGGGGACTAACAGTCTACCAGCAGAGGTACAAGACTTTGAATTTTTCGAAATACTAAGGATTTTCTACTCCAATAATATATTAACTTAGCTGTATTTTGCAAAACTTTTGGAATTTTGGGTCCTCAAATCTCTTTAACTTCGTACTTTATTTTGTCTTTTTAACCTTTTTTAGTCGAGCGTCACTGATGATTCCTTTGTAGACGAAACGCGCGTTTGGCGTACAAAATTTTAATCCTGGTATCTAGTATGATTAGTTTATTTGATGAGTTTAAGACAATGTTAAAAACTTTGTTCACCGATTTTAAAAGTATACGTTCAATCATATATTAGAATATGTTTAGGGATGTTCATAGTAATGAACTATTAAGGATAGTAGTCTCGGAATCTGTTAAGATTATTAATGTTGAAAACTTTGTTCTTCGATTTTAAAGTATTTGTTCAATCATATATTAGAATATCTTTAAGAGATGTTCATAGTAATGAATTATAAGGATAGCAGTCTCGGAATCTGTTAAGATTGTGAATATTAAAAACTTTGTTCAACGATTTTAAAAGTTTTCGTTAAATCAAATATGTTTTGGGGATGTTCATAGTAATGAATTATTAAGAATAGAAGTCTTGGAATCTGTTAAGATTGTCTGTAGTGATAGCAGAAGTTTGCGTTGTTACTTACATACAGTACTGGTGGAATTACTGCAGACACCATCAATGTCCTCAGCTGAGGTCATCCATCATCATGTGTTTCGATCCCTAGCTCGGTACACTCTCAGGATGGGTGGTCCACAGTGGTGATCAATTACTGCGCATTGGTGGTGGGTTTCAAGCTTCTAATGTCTCTCTTCATCCATATCCAGCAAGACGCTTTCTCTTCTGCTTAGTCCATTTTCTTTATAGATGTTCGTCTATGCCGGCCAGTCGATCACTCCTACTGCAGAAAACAACCTATGCACTGACTGTGCAGGGAAGCCTCTGCAGCCAACCTCAACAGGAAAGCTCCATATCTGCCATCCACTATATCTGCCAACAGTCCATCAAACTATTAACATGCTGTGTTGAGCATGTTGAAGAAACGGTTATATTTATGCTCACTTTCCCCTGGAAGCTGCAAATACATGAGGATACATGACTTTATCGACTGCATCATGTAAAACTGAACGGTGTAAATATAAAAAATAGAAGATGTGGTTTGATAAGACAGCTCTCCAGCAGAGAGCTGTAAAACTTACTTTGCGATTTATAAGTTAAAGATACAATCTCCATAAATAATGTCTGCTGCAGTGTAAGTTACTATAAGCTGAGGAGGTTGTTGATAATTAATATGAAAACTTTCGCGACGGTCTGCAATATTTCCTGGATAGGGTGTTCTCTCTCCGGCTAGATGTTCCCCTTACTGAACACGAGAATCCCTCACAAACACCCCTATAACCTTCGACCCGGCCACTGACTTTCCCGCCAAACGTCTAAATCTACATAACGCTTTTTCAGGCGTAAAACTAGTCCAAATAATTATGACGCCGTCTTGAAAGGCTATTTTAGTTTACGTATTTGGACTAGCGTAAAACATGTATTGATTCTTCGCATTTGTAACCTTTAGTGATCAATAAACATTACAATATGATGTGTACATATTTTATGAATAATTTAGACACAACTCACTGACATTGATCGTATGTACATTTTTGTTATGTACTTTCTCGTATACATTTGGTCATTTTATCAGAATCCAGGTCCGTTCGCCCTGATTCGCGTTCGCCCTAGTACCTGTTCGCCCTAATACCTGTTCGCCCTGGGTCCGTTCGCCCTAATTCCTGTTCGCACTGAGTCCGTTCGCCCTGATTTCTATTTTCTAAAGTTTGTTGAAAATTCCGCCGAAATATTTGGTCAGATCATACGTTTTCGTACGTCATATGAATTCGTACTATGCATGCTTTTCAAATGGAAATTGTGACGTCACAATGCATTCTTAATAGCACGAAAACCCATGAGACAAGGATTTATGTTGTATTGATGCTACCAGATAATGATTTTTCTTTTGATTTGCATTGAATATTCTTGCAAGAATATTCATCATGTTGAATGTGGACAGTATTTTGAAGAAGAATTGTTCAAGAACTGGAGACAAAAAAGTTATCTGTATGAATTTATCTTTTTAATTGGAAACCTTGTAACAATTTCAAAACAATCCAAACAGGTATAACAAGATCCAACTCACTCAACACCTTGAGAGCAAAGAAGCCAATTTAGCGGCGAAAACAATTTCTCTTTAATGTCTTACAATTCATACATCATAATTGTTTTAACTCATTCCAAGCTGACTTGTTTATTTAAAAAAAACAATTTCATTATTAATCCACCAAAAATAATAACTACAACAATCAGTGAGACCAAAGACATCGTAATCATATCTAATCAGCATTCTAAATTACAAAACTTTGAATTTTCGGAATACTAAGGCTTTTCCACCTCAGAAATATATTACCTTAGCTGTATTTGGCAAAACTTTTAGAAATTTTGGGTCCTCAATGCTCTTCAACTTCGTACTTTATTTGGCCTTATAAACTTTTTGATTCGAGCGTCACTGATGAGTCTTTTGTAGACGAAACGTGTGTCTGGCGTACAAAGTTTCAATCTTGGTATCTATGATGAGTTTATATACAATCAACAGTCATTAAAAGTAATTCTGAATAAAAACAAATGTAACAATGAAGCCAATTACTAGCCTGATTAATGCTTCAAAACAAAAACCTTTTTTTTTTAATTTCAATGTTTATTCATGAATTTGGAGATATATTGTTTAATATTTACCATTTAAATATCTGAATAAGATTACAAAACTTTAAATTAAACCACTAATATTATTTTTTTTTTATTAAAATTAGGGCGAACGGACCCAGGGCGAACGGACTCTATGGGCGAACGGACTCAGGGTGAACGAACCCAGGGCGAACATGTAATTAGGGCGAACGGACCCGATACCAGTTTATCAGACGTATCCTTGTCGAGGGTAGGACGGGAATAGAGAATGGTCAGGTAAGATAATAACACACAAATTTGGAAGAGTTTGGATACGGAGGGCCTCAAAAACTTGTTATTGTAATGTTGTTATTATCGATTATGTTCAAGTCTGGAAAAAAAATATGATAACATTTTGGTGCGTTGCCATTAATAACTGTTTCAGCGTATTTAGTGAAATTTTATTTTATTTTGTAGGTCATAAAAACGCTTTACGTTACTAATTTTAAAATATAATTCTAAGATTTTACTGACGTTGATCATTGACAACAATGTAAACAAAAAAGTCTGCAGTATTTCAGTTTTTGAGTTCCATCGGTTTTATTAACTTGGACTAAATAGAGAATACACATAAAAATTGCAAGATTTGTATAAGGAAAAGATGCATCATATGGTTTGTTTAACCGTACATGAAAATGACAGACGGAGAGAATAATAAAACACGAAGATTATTGAAAATATCAGAATAACTTAACCTGTTGACTCTGTTAGTGTTACTTGTTCCTTTATGGAGCAAATACTTAGATCTTTTGTGAGAAAAAAGTGGTTTTAATCTCATGTCATCTAAGGTTAAAGACAGAATGTCTCATACAGATTCGATAGTTAAAAAAGAAAAGGATGATGATGAATGTATTACTATTAGGGTAAAAACAGTGAAAAGTTCAAAGTCACGTAATGGAGAAGAGGATGTTCAAGAAGAAAATGGAGTATTGTTTTGGGTAAATAAGAGCGGATTTCCAATTGACAATAAAACATGGGAACGCATGTGGGACCATGTAGCTAAAATTCACCCAGACAGTTTTGACATGGTACGGAAGATCAGAAACAGTGGAGATTTGCCACAAGTATGTGTAAAATATACATGTAGATGAATTTATCAAGTACTTTTCTGTTGTAGACCAGAAATTTTAGAAATGTATAAAATGACTAAGTAAGTTTAATCTTCTTCTTCTACCTTGCTACATGTAAGGACTGGATTTCTATTTGAATGTAATTAGTCCACTAGACGCTGATGGAGACTAATTTCAGGGGTATTAAATGATTCTGGTGCTTGCACTGTGCTGAAAAAAATGAAAACAACACTTCATAAATTTCAGGCGTCCAAAGCGAAAGATCGCAAACTGACTTTTCACATCTAAAAGACTTTCCATTCATATTTTTTAAGCAATGTCAATGGTCTCTCATATTAAAGTAACAGTACATGTAGTTTGATACATGTACATGTAGTTAGAAAATAAACAAATTAAAAATACTGTAAAAAATAATTATAATCTTGCATCTGTGCCCATAACCTGTTTTGTCACATTTTCTTGCTGTAAATACAACATTTACAAGTGACAGCTTCTTAATATACATTTGTTCTCTTTGCCATTCAATAATTGTGATACTTTGGGATCTATTTCAGGTATATTATAGTGTTCATATACATATATATATATATATTTTAGGTTCCATTTCAACCACCACCAATCAATTTTCCATCTTCAACACCAGTGTCAGAGAGAATTGAAAAAGTACAGAATTACATGAGGAATCTACAGTATCTTTTGATCAATTTATTGAATATATATAGCTTGTTAATGATAATATTTTCAGTTATATATTTTAAGAAGGAAAGGAAATTTAACTATAAAACTACAGGGAAAACAAACACATTAAAAAATAAATATTCATTGTACATTTTGTCCTTAAAAGGCTTAGAAAGTATGAATTATGCTAAAATGTGTAAACATACATGTATGAGATCATGCATGTAAATTTCCCTTAATGTATCTACTGTTAAAACTTTTTAGGATAAAACTTTGACCACTATTATGAAATAAGGAGATCTTTGTATTGTGATTGCCAATGAGACCAATTTGACATAGATATTTGCAATTATACATGTACAATGTAGGTCACAATACAGCCTTCAACAATGAGAAATATCTATATTGAATAGTAAAAGTACAGTAAAATTTGCTGGTTTGCAAACAACTGCCAGTACCCAGTTATTTTTTGGGTTTCTGATATCGTGTTATCAATTAATGGATGACGTCTTCACTATTTTTTCACCACTCTTTGCAAATGATACAAAGAGGGGTATTTTCTTCAAGTCATATTTAAATCTGGCTTTATCCCATAAATTATTTATTTAAGAGAGAAGAGTGTGTAGATTCATGTGTGTTTAATAAGGAAAACAATTATAATAAAGGGTTACTAGCTTCCCTCTGTATGGAGTTTTACATACACATTAATAATGTGTGTAATAGAGAATAATGGGGAAAATATAGAGATAAAAGGGCCAAAAAATTAAGCCTAGAGAAAAATAAGCAACAAAAAAAAAAAGAGTCGAAGATAATGGGTTTTTGAAATATATAGAATAGAGGATGACAAAAAAATTATAGAATACAAAAATGAGCTCCAACACTCCATCCAGGCAGAACCTAAATTATCACTCACTTTTGCCTCAATAGCCCTCATATTCACATACCTCGATCTTTTAACAATAAACAAAAAATTTATTGTTTTTTCTTAACTAAAAGGTATAATCACACTGGAACTCAGTTTTATGAAGTCAGAAAAAACAGACCAATATCTGGGTAAGTGAGCAACAGAAAAATTCATTTAAACTTTATCCAAATGAGCACTAAATAGATCTTAAATTAGTTATGATTAATTCAAATATTATAAGCACGAAAAATTATCTCATTCACAAACATTCTACATCTAGAAAATAATTCAGAGCAAAACCTCAAACTCCTGTAGCAATGTAATAAGCGTGAGAGTCATTGTTACAACTTAGTCTATGCACACATGTGTTAACTGCTTTTATTGTAAGTATTTAATTCTATTTTTATTTTATAAAAAGCAAACTTAAAAAGTAAGAAGATACACAAGTGAAGAAGAACCAACAATGCCACGAATAAGGGAAAAAAAAACACAAAACACCATACTGAAAAAGTAAAATTTACAAAAATGTCTTGTTAAAGTTGAAATCAAAATTACTCAGGTAAAGTCAGCTGAACAAGCTATAAGTATTTGATTGAAGCAATAATTACAAATTTTAAAACTGCTACAGTACAGATAAAAAATTTGAAAAAAATGAACAATTCCAAAACGATTTGAAACTAAAATACTTATTAAAGTTAAATATTATATCAGTGATTTATGGTATAGCTTAATTGCACACAACTTCTCAATTATTCTTTTGTAGATTAATGGATTTGGCCAGAGAAATGATAAAAGAATCCTTACCAATTAAATGTTTGGAAGCCATTATTCTTGGAATGTATCCTTATTTAAAATATCTCTTATTGGAATGAAGACCATGCATTGTAAGAAACAAAATTAGGATGACAAAATTAAATACTATAGACATGATAGATGTATTTTGATTACATTCAAAATTCAGAAATTCAGACATCACTGTGAATTAACATTAACAGTTTAAAAAAAAATTACTTGTGTTCTGTAAACCAATCTGGATTTGGAGATCATCATTAGTTAAAAAGGGAAAGAAACTTAAATATACAGAAATGTCTTAAATCATATAACCTCAAACATGGCAAAAATATTCCAGGTAGTTTTGACATGCCTATGGAAAGAGTAATAATTAACCAAACAAATTTGATTTGAATACTATTTACAAAAAATAAATGTGATAAAAATTATATCAATAATTCTGAACTTGTTTACATCTTTTTCATTTGGTCTTTTGACAGTTGTCTCATTGGCAATCATTAACCACATATTCTTATTTTTGTTTTAAACATAGAAATTTTTGTTTAACAAAGGGAGATACATGTAAATATTATTTTTCTGTATATATTGCCAATAAAACATGTATGACCTAGCTTTCTCTGGTTGCATAATTGTACCATGAGTGTTTCTTCAAAGATTCCACCACTTAGTTTTTGGAACCTTAGCCTCAGTATTTTAAAACAATCTTTGATATCATAATAGATTCCTTATCTATACCAGTTTTCTTACCAATGGCATGCTTGGAGTTGAGAGATTTCCTATCAGTTTTAAAAGTGTATTTAATGGAAACGTTCACCGTCATGTTGTATTAGGAATATATTACAGCGGGAGATGGGGCACCATAGGGATGAGTCGACGTGAGGAACTTATGTATAAACCTCTAGTTTTCAAGGTATATTGAAATACATTTAATAATCAACAAGCTTCAGATGCATAAGAATTATTGCAAACCAAATGATACTTTTCCACAGATTCACTTGAAGGTTACCTGTCGATTTAAACTTTTGCAAGTTCTTTTGTCCCATTGAATAAATACAATAGCTATTGTTCCCTGTGTAGTTTATTCACTGGGACCTTTAAATTTCTTCAAGGAGAAATCTATCACTCATTGATTAATTTGCCTGAGTAAAAAAATTATCTTATAAACAGACAAAATTACATTTTTTATACTCAAAAACTGCATGTGATGTTGTGTTTATTCAATATTAATAATATATTTTCAATCTGTTCAACATAAACACTGATTTAATCATAAAAAGTTGATTTCTGAGAAAATTTTTAGCATTGTTCCTATTGAAATTTGCATTTTTTGTTTTTGTTTAGTAATAGAATACTTTTAAGAAGGCCTTAATTTGAGCATCATAATTTTCCAGTTTTTATTTGTCAAACACAAAAAAAAAACAAATTTAAATAGGAACAATGTTGAAAGTTTTGTCAGAAATCAACTGAATCACTGTTTACATGTAACAGATTAAAAATATATTATTAATATTGAACAAATATGACTTCACATGTAGTTTTTGAATATAAAACATGTAATTTTGCCTATTTATAAGATAATTTTTTTACTCAGGTAAATTAATCAATGAGTGATAGATTTCTCATAGAAGAAATTTAAAGGTCCCAGTGAATAAACTACACAGAGAACAAAAGCTATTGTATTTATTCAATGGGACAAAAGAACTTGCAAAAGTTTGAATCAACAGGTAACCTTCAAGTGAATCTGTGGAAAAGTATCATTTAATTGGTTCACAATAATAAAGTTTCATTTTCATCTACACACTGCATGTCTTTTTTTTTTTTAAATGTTCATTTAACTTATCTATAAGGATTATTGCTGTCCATCTGCATTGAGTTAACTGATTTTGATAGGTAGTTTTACATTTTTATAATTTAAGGTAGAGTTATTTCTCTTTGACTCTGTTTGAAGTCAACATATACAATCTTTTTCATTCAATCAATCAGTTTCAACTTGTTTACTATTGATAAGTAGACTGTAGAAAAAGTTGTTTTCTCAACTGTTTGTTTAAGCCTGGTATTATTCATCACTACCAACTAGTAAGTTTGTTTTACATGGTTAGTCATATATGAAGAAAATCAACTATTATGTCCTCTAAGTTTTTACCAGGTTGCCAAAGGAAATACACAAAATACATCAATGGAAAACTATGTATTGAATGACACCCTTACAACACTTTCAGATTGTTCTTGTAGTACTAAGAGTTAGTTGACTCCAATAAAACACCCCGTTGTCAGATAGAATGAACAATGTAATGTATAGAATTAGTTGAAATGTGAATTAGGATCTGTAAGGATATACATTACATGGATGGAACCAGGATTTATGAAAGGGGGCGTAATTGCTGATAACTTACATTTTGTTCGAGCAGAGTAAGGCAACATTTTTTTGGATGATTGCATTTCCAAAAATTCATAAATTTTCCAATCAAAAGGGGTACACTTTCTGTCTCCCCCTAAATCCTCCACTGATATATATGTTAACACTGTAATTTCAGAGTTTGGCAGATTTGATGTTTGATTATGAAAAATCCTACAACCACTGTAAGTACATGTATATAATATTCCAATTTCCCAATTAATATATATGATTGTACTTATAAAAATGAACTCCTCTCATCTCCTTTTTATTCATATTTAAATAATGAATACATACATGTACTTTTTTAAACTATAGATTTACTACTGTAATACTTAGTGAATTTGTTTTTGATATCACTTTTTTTATTTTATCTATTTTTTGTAATAGAAATAATGAATACATACGTTTTTAAACTATAGATTTACTACTGTAATACTGAGAGAATTTGTTTTTGATATCACTGTTTTTTATTTTATCTATTTTTTGTAATAGAAATAATACTAGCAGTTACGAGTTTTGTTATATGGATATAAACTTGTAAAATAGTTTTTTTTTTTAATCACAGTTTATCATGAAGTAAAGAAGATGAAAATAGGACTACCAGCCCCACATGATCCTCATAGTTATGAATTTATCAACTGGAAGGTATAGTTTACATTATACAATCAATTTACCTGTATATAAGGTCACCCTCGAGACCAAAGAAAACTGACCTTATAAGTGAGGTTATCTTGTTATAAAAAGGAAATGTGGTATGATTGCCTATGAGACAACTTTCAACCAGAGTTCAAAAGAAGTGGATGTAAATGAGAAAGACCCATACCATATAGTCGGCTATAAAAGACCCAGACATGAAAAATGTGAAACAATTCAAACGAGAAAACTAAGGGCCTAATTCATAGCAAAACAATTTACGAAAAACAAATATGACAGACATGAACCAACGACAACCACTGAACTACAGGCTCCTGACTTAGGACAGGCACACAAAGAATGTGGCATAAAGAATGTGACATCAACATAGGAACAAAGTATAAAAATCAGTTGACTGTACATAATTTTTCCAAATTTTCCTTTCTTTAACTTACATGTATAAGAATAACTGATCAGGTAAAAAAATAATGTGTGTTTTCTTTTAATTATTGCATTAGACGTGTCCAGTTTTAACAGAACATTTTTATGCCCCACCTACGATAGTAGAGGGGCATTATGTTTTTCGGTCTGTGCATCGGATCCGTCTGTCTGTCCCGCTTCAGGTTAAAGTTTTTGGTCAAGGTAGTTTTTGATGAAGTTGAAGTCCAATCAGCTTGAAACTTAGTACACATGTTCCCTATGATGTGATCTTTCTAATTTTAATGCCAAATTAGAGTTTTGACCCCAATTTCACGATCCACTGAACATAGAAAATGATAGTGCTAGTGGGGCATCTGTGTACTATGGACACATTCTTGTTATTTTTTCAATTTATATATAAAAAATTACGGTTTATAATATAAGGTATTTTTGGTGGAAAATATTACATAACAAACTTTACCTGTGAAAAAACACAAATTTATTAATTATTGATTCAGTTTGGTAAAATATATTACCACTTTTCTGGTGAAAAAAGCCTTGGAAAATTCTATTACAAGATGCACTTCAAAATTGATTGGTGTTTAACACCTCTTTCAGTAGTTGAACTACTGAGACCACTCGGTATGGAGGTCCCTACATCTCAAGAACTCCAGTCAATATTTAGAAAGATTGTCAAGCATTACAATTTTCTTCTGTAATACTGTCTTTGTTTCCTATATATATTATTCCTAATAGAATTCAAATTGTCTCCCTTATACTATTTTCTATACATTTTTCTTCCAGACCTTAACATTAACTCCAGGTAAACAGAACAAGAAGGAAATGACTAAAGACCTAGAACATATGGCTAAAGAAATAAGACTCAAGGTAAGTAATTAGTTTTTGAATCAAAGGTTAATTAGATCTACAATGCTGGAATAACTAGGTAATTTTTTTAAATTTTAAAAGATCCATTTTTTTCAGATACCCATGACAGTACATGTATATCAATGGTGTCTTCTGTATAATATATATCAATGAAAACACCACTAAAAGAATCTTTGCTGTTCAGAAAAATTTGGGGTGATATTACCTTCCGGGAGATAATTGCACTGAATATATAGATGACCAAATACGCTGTTTCAGATGGCACTAAAAACCAAATCTTGGTCATCATGGGTAGCAAAGTTACCCCACCCCCTCCTGGATCACAAGAACGGTACCAGACTAGAAATATAAAGATGATCATATTTACAAAAAGCACTGACTATATATTTTAGGCTAGATTGAATGTTATATGTCAGACAGAGATGTTCTTCCCATCTATGAAGGTATGATGGTACAGGGAACACAATTTGTACTATTGATACACTATTGATAAAAGCAGTACATTTCTTGCACTTGAGTACATGTCATTAGATATACTGGAAGAGGCTAAGACATGAATTACAGCAAAAACCATACTTAGGTTAACAACTTTTTTTTGCAAGTTCTGTTTTAAGAGGGGCGTAAAGGGAGGGTATCTGCATGGAAGAACGTGAAATAAAATTTCCATTTCACGATGAACGAACAATTAAAAATTTCTTGCACGTTGATCTTTTTATCGATTTCATGAAACACGGCGAATAACGAACCTTTTTCACGGCTGCACATGAAATAAAAATGGCAAAACACATTGCACGAAAATAACCCTTTACCACCCTCTTTTAATTTTGTCAAGAGCTGTTTATAAAAAGACAATATATGTTAAACGGAAATTGCTAATAAGTGGAACTCTTTCTCTGTAAAAGATGCCATGGTTAAATCAGTTAACCAATATATTTTGCAAGTGTTCAATTCTGTCTCAACCCTTGAGGGTTATATATAAAAAGACAATATTTTAAACAAAAATTGCTATTTAAGTGAAACTCTCTCTCGGGTAAAAAAATACTAAGGTAAAGATCACCTAAAACTTATACAGTGTTTCACCGGAGCAATATTAATTTCTGTTTTTGAAATGATAAATTTAGATTGAAATTTAAATTGTTTTGAAAAAGTTGGTTATAAAATGTATGGTAATTGCTGTAACTGATAATAAAGGGAGCACCGCTTTGAAAAACTTGATAAGAAACATGAATAAATGCGTGTATTTGTTTGCAGGCAATTTTCTTTCATCATTGTATAAAGTCATTAGATGAATACTTGTGCGTATGAATTATTTTTCATTCATTTATAATGAATTATTGTTCATTATTATGATTTTTTTTTTTTTTTTTTGTAACATGAGGTTTGTTTTCGCTCATTTATGTATTTTAATCCATTGAAAAAGTTTTTGTGGCATCTTTTCACTTGCCTCCTCATCAATGTTTGAGATATAGTTCAGCTAATAGAATTGAGTCCTGCTATTCTCCTTAAAGGCCTGTTCATTGATGGAAATTTTAATGAAATATGCACAGATTTCTGGAAAATTACTATTTAGAGCTACTTAATTTCCAGGAAAATTTTGTACACCGCTTTGGTGAATCATACTCCTAAATTTAAAATATTGGTTTCTTTTGGCCTGATATGTTATATATCACATATGCAAACTCTCTATAGCAATTAGCAAAAGTTCACTGTTAAAATGAAAAATTGAAGAAAAAAAAAGTTCGAAGATATTTAAAATGGATGAACAACTGTTTAAGAACAAGTGGCAAATATCACATGCACATGCATATATCAGTGTGAGATAAAATTGAGAATGGAACGGGAAATTTGTCAAAGAGACAACAACTCGACCAAAGAGCAAAACACAACTCAAGGCCACCAATGGGTCTTCAACACAGCTAGAAAATCCCACACCCGGAGGGGGGCTTTAGCTGGCCCCTAAACAAAAATGTTCACTGGTTCAAAGAAAATGGACATCACACTAAACATGTTTATGTAATATGAAAATGAAACCTGTTTTTTGCTACACTAGTTCACACAATAACACTATCCACTGGATGACATTTCACCCTCTCCAGACATCTTATTTTTAATTTTGAACCCATCAGTCTTTACCTCATGCTGAGTGGATATACCAACTTTTAAGTTTTTTTTTGCTTTGAATATGAACCCAGTCTACATGCTGTGACTGAATTTTAATGTGCAAGATCACCAGAAACAGTCCACAGGAAGATTTGTCAAGATCATAATCTACTGTAGATTCATAATTATAAGAGGGTTTCTAATTTCCATGTATAGAGGTGACGGATGTTTAACCAAAAGATTTACCTGTAGGCTTATATGAAGTTTGTTCAAACCACAAAATCAAATGTCCACATAAGTACAATTCCTCCATAATTTAAAAGAAATAGGTACCAATGAAAATAAAGAGACCCACAATAATTAATCTTTTTAATCTTTAAATTTTAATGACCTTTTTAAATGTAGTTTAAATATACATATGAAGAAGAAAAAAAAATTTCAAAATATAAGCTAAAAAGTAAAATAACAAAAATAAATACAGAACTCCAAGGAAAATTTAAAATGTAAAGTCCTCAAATGGCAAAATCAAAAGCTCAAACACATCAAACGAATGGAAAACAACTATCATATTCCTAACTAGGTACAGACGTTTCCTTATGTAGAAAATAGTGGATTAAACCTGGTTTTATAGCTAGCTAAACTTCTCACTTGTATGACAGTCACATAGAATTCCATTATGTTGACAACAATGTGTGATCAAAACAAAAAGACATAATAGGTAAAAATTGGGGTACAGTTAAGACGATTGATGGACAAAGTGTTTTAAATGTGCATATATATCTATCTTAGGCTTACCATAATTCAGAACCTACACCTGGCATCACGCTGTATTCTGCTCGTAAGGTAGAATGTTTGTTTAAATCTTTGTATATAGAAGTAATTTAATAATGCTCTTTTGTAATAACAAATATATGTAAAATGTGCAAGTCATAGTATTCATAATTTTAGAAAGTTCCTTTAATGAAATGGCATTGAAATCTCCTGGTTTATAAGTTTCCTGTATGGATTTATTGGTCAATGATTGCCTTTGTTGAGCTAAAAAAGGACCTTTTATGTAGAGTTTTATACTACTGTGGATTCATTATTATTCGTTGGTACCAATTTTTGTAGATTTCGTGGTTATATGTTAACCACGAAATTAAAAGTTCAACGAATGGCAAATTTACTATAGGCTTGTATGCAGACATTGTCAAAAACCATGAAATTAAATATCCACGAACTTGTAAGTTTTCCTTAATCCACGAAAATTGGTACCCTTGAAAATAAATGAATCCACAGTATCACTCTGCAGTCAGTGAGAAAACTTGTTTCTGTTTAGTTGATATAGGTCAAATGACAGTTAAGATAAGATACCAATGTTGAATTGTATTATTCTTATGTTTTTGTTGGTCAGTGGTGGTGAAATGATAGGTAATGAGGGGCTTCGGTGGCCGAGTGGTCTAAGTAGTCAAACTACTGTATCACTAGCCAGTCAACACTGAGGTTGTTAGTTCGAATCCTGCACAGGGCCAGTGCACTCGACTCCAATCTTAATTGACTAGGATTGTCAGTTTTCCTACTGAAGGTCAGTGGTTCTCTCCTGGCACTCCGGCTTCCTTCACCAATAAAAACTGACTGCTACGAAATAGCACAATAGTGTTGAAAGTGGCGTTAAACACCAATCAATCAATCAATAGGTAATGAAATAATCGAATGCCCATTCTAGTGCAAGCTCACAGTGTGATAGTTCGTCGGAGGGTGTTTTACTTTAACCTAGCACATTATTCCAACATATTTTCTCTCACTTGTAAATGGGATGTGCTCAACAGAAAAGTAAATACCAAATTATAACAATGTATTAAGTCTTTGGCTAGACCTGATGGGGGATTAAACATATGTCATCCAGCACTAGAGGCAACTGTACAACCATGATACCACTGGGCAATGTGATTGACAAACAATAGATGTTCATGTTAGCTAATTATATATGCAACCAAACATGACTCAGACAAACAACACGGCTAGGATATGTGGTTAACTGGTTTTAAATTGTCAATTAAAAAGGCATGTTGTTACAAAATGTATGTGTGAAATGTCGTAATCCAGTAGTAAAATTGTTGAGTCAGTGTTTAACTAAGATTTGCTTGTTTAAGTATGGTTGCTCCATCCTGGTACATAATTTTATGATATACATGTATATATAATAATTAAAATTTTATAATTTTAACAAAAGTAATATGATTTTCTTTAATATTGCATCTTTGTGATGGCTAAATTAAAATTAATGACATATTACATGTTTGTGACGTTTTAATGATCACAGTTGCTAAGAATGTTGGTCATTGTTCTGCGTTTTAAAGCAAACAGTTTATCTATTATTACCAGCACACCAGAGTTGATCCCAACAGCTAAAGCAGGTCTTGTAACTGCTTAACTCTATCCATCAGTTCATCTATCCAAAAGACCTTGGCTAGAAAACTTTTCTCAGAAGTTTTCATGGATTCTAAGAAAGAGAAGGATTTTACGTTTGGTCTGAAGCTTGAAATATTGATTTGTAATTTATTTTTTATATCTGCCTATAGTGTGTAATTTCAAATAATCATACACAGTGACTCAAGTCTAAACCCTGTATTTGTATTGTTTTTTTAAGTATATTTAAATATCCTTCTGATCTTTGATCATTGTTAAATACTGGTGGAAATGTTTGAATGCACCTCTCATGCATTTTGTAAGCTTTGATATTTTGTAACTTTGCACCATATTATTGATATTATAAAATAGTTTACAGCAGATTTATATGAAAACCTGTGATCATGAAGCAACACCACAACTGGTGTCAAGAATATATACTGTAAATTCAGAAATTTTTGTGCGCATTTATTATTGCGATTTTTGAAAAATGGACATAAATGCAAGATTAATCATGTTAATTATTGCGATTTTAGGAAAATCTGCATACAGATATATGAATATATATTGCGATATTCACCCAGCATTATTCACACTAATAAAAACCTCACAATAATTTCTGAATTTACAGTACCAGTAGACATTTACAACTCTGTTCCTTTTTTCAGTTTTGTCTTGTGTATATAGTGGTTGTGAATTGATATACCATTATCATTTCTTTTTCATCATATATTGAATATTTTGATATGAATCTTTATCTTTTGAATGTCTCCTTGGTATCTACCGCCTATTTTATAACACTAAAAAGGTTTTTAGTTAAGTTCTTTGTCTATCATATGGTCCCAGACCACAATTAATGATCCCGCTTTTCGTTGTCCATGAATATAGTTCCTTTTAATTAGTGTATTTTTTCTTAATTTTTTTTCTTTCCCTTCCTCACTCATTTCTTAGTTTTTTTTGGATGGAAATGAAAGAAGAGAGGTGAAATAAACTTTTGGATGTTGTATTTTAACTGATTTTGATATGGAAAGAGTGATTAGGCCAGGTGCAAAAAGGTGATATTTACAGTTTTCGGAACATCTCTTGACTTGCATTTGTCTTTAGGGGTATGGATGTGTATTGGCTAAATTTGTAAGATACTGGGGAGCAATTTTTCTGAATGTTGGATATATGTTTGGACTAGTACTGTACTTTACACACACAAAATATTTGACAAAAAGAATCGGTGCAATTTTTTTAATGAAACAAAACGTTATAAAGAACTAATAGAGAATTTAATTGTGGTCTGTGGCCATATAAGAAATAGGCAAAATGAGCACTCAATTAGTATTTCTGTTTATCATACATGTGTATTTTAAGGCTAATTATTATACATAAAAATAAGGAGATGAGGTATGATTGCCAATGATACAACTATCCACCAAAGTTCAAATAAAGTGTATGTAGGCAATTATAGGCATGTCTTTTTCAAATTATAATACATGTAATGTCAATTATATAGTAAAATATGATAAAATATTACATAGCACTTTATTGCATGCCGTTCAAAGTAAAAAAGAGAATGGAATACATTGTATATCTTCTTTAGGCCAACCCCACGGCCAGGATACTACATGACCATGAACCCCTTTCATACAGTTTACTGGTACTTAAATATTTAAATGGATTTGAGCATGGCATAAACAAGGATGAATATATTTCTTAAGAAATTAAGAGCATAAAAAACTAAGAGTAGAATCTAAGGTTCAATTCTCCTCAAGGGGTGCACCTAATATAATAATGAACTTATTAAGTATTCTATAAAGCAGTTAAGAATAGATTGTCATTTTAATCTTTATAGAATATTTTGAAAACACACTTAGGCATTTCTATTATGCAGAAGTAGTACTAATATGTATCATATGACAAATTTTCACATTCAAATTTTAAAAAGTTTCAAAAACCATGGTCATAATTGATTTAAACTTGAATTAGTTGACGGTTATATGTATTTAAAATTAAAATTGTATCTTATTAGGCAAAATCCTACAGTACCCACCAGTGCCAGTCTCCAAGAAAAACGTATTCTACAGCAGAATTTCCATATGAAAGCAATACTCAGCGAAGTATAAGGGAGGCAACCAAGGTCTATAGGTCGTAAGTATTTTTAGTAACAAATGTTTGATAATATTTTTCAGAAAAGAAAGCTAGATGTATCATTCATTATTAATATAATGGTAGTATTCAGATTTTGTAATTAAAAAAGTTTGTTTGATTATTAAATAGCTGTTTCATAAACACATACATGAGACCCATGAAAGGCACTTTGAAATATCAAGTATGGGTGGGTGTCAAGAACAGTAAAAATGTTAGTAAAATTCTAAATTTACCTCTATAAGTTGTTACCCAATTTTGAACATGCTTTCCCTGAGTACCATGTATGTTAAAAGGAAACAGTCCTTATCAGAAGTTGTAGATAGCTGCATATTTATTATATATCCTTGTTGGTCCAGAAAAAACATATTTTTGAAACGATAATGGACAGGTGAATCTAAAATGAATGACAGTTTTTGTTCAAGTCTGGAAAGATGATACTTAAAACTTTCACAAAATTCCAGTCTACTTATAGTTAGGGCTGTTGCATTGATTTTTGATCTAGTCATCCCATATTTATAACTACTAACTCATTGATGGGCAAGAGCCTTGAGATGACATGTAGCCAAGAATCTTCCTCCAGTTGAAAGACCATATACAATCTATTCATACCTATTTACCGAGGCAACATTAATAACACCATCATATTCTAATCTAAGCGAAAAACAAATATCAGTTGAATACTGTAGTTTGAAATGGAAAATGATCACAGAGAAAGATCAAAGGAAAATTCGAGAAAATACAAGTACATGTAATAATTTTAAAATGCTTATCTTTCTCCACTATTGATTTTTGCACCAAAGTTTGTCTGATCTTCCAGCAAAAGTGGTTGTCATAAAAGTAATTAGTTAATAAACTAAAACCTTGTTGTTTTGATCCACGAGTTTATTACATAGATGTATTTCACTGTTATCCTTTATTTTTCAGTCAAACTTCAATAAATGCAGAATATCTAAAGAAGTTTACAAGTACAAATGAATCAGCAGACTATCAGCTTAGGATTTAACATCCAGATTGAAGAAAAAGGATGTAATTTCTTCAAATTCTAGATCTTGCCACGATGTCGGAATTTTTTTATTTTCTTTTTATTTAAAGAAGATTTTTTGTCAATTTTGTGCATGTGATAAGCTAAAAACTGTGATATTCTTTTTACAATTACAATTGTTGTCTTTAATTTTTAATAATTCATAAATATTATCACATAAATTGGGCATGTTGAGTGAGCTTTTTTTGTACTTTTCGCATATGTAAAATCCATTTATTTATTAATTGTATTGTATATTCATTTTAATACAATTAAATTGTTTTAATTTTGGCTGTCCATTCAAATTTTTCTGACTTATTTTCCTATGTTTTCATATAAAAATTACTCTGTTTACCACTGTGCACGTACATTATTGTCTTTAAAGGATAAGGAGAGGTGGTATGATTTCTAATGAGGAAACTATCAACCACTCTAGATGACCATCAGAGTTCAATTGACGTGGATGTAAGCAACTTTAGTATAGGTCATAGTACGTTCTATGACCATGAGCCAAACCCATACCAATGTAACCATAAAGTCGGCTAACAAAGGCCCTGACATGAAAAATGTGAAACAATTCATACAGGAAAACTAACAGCCTAATTTATAACAAGACAAAATATGAAACAGTTCAAATTAGAAAGCCAAGGACCTGATTTATGACAAAGCAATAAACTAAAATACAAAATGACAGACAGCAACCAATGACAACCACTGAATTACAGGATCCTGACTTTGGACTGGCATATAAAGAATGTGGCAGGGTTAAACAAGTTTGTGAGCGCTCAACCCTCCCCCTTACCTTGGACAGGGGTGTTACAGCTGGTAATAAGTAAGTGTTGTAAATGGCTTGACTCTCCCTATTGGCATAAATCATAAAAACAAATAACATAAAGACTAAAGTGCTAGGGGCCGTCTTAAACTTGCAGTGAGGTGAAAGTTTTTTTGCTCCATGTTGAAGGCCTCACTGTGTCTTTCAGATGAAGAACAGCAATAAAAGCACTGTTCCTTTGCTTATTGTGTGTGTTTTTTCGTTGTGCATGTACTGATATTGTGTCATGGATGGATACCCCATATCTTTTGTTTTTCTAAAGATACAAAATACAAATTTAAGAGTACTCAGTTAATGAAAGCTCTTTCAATCCTATTTAATATTGTGTAGTGCATACAGTGACACATGTTTTTTGCTGAGCATGTACTGATTTTGTGTCATGGATAGATACCCCATATCTTTTGTTTTTTTCTATTATGTTAGAAATGGCCTTTTCTCTTTACAGATCACAAGATAGAATTTTGGATAATTTTCTATCACCCCTAGTTTTAAAAATAAGGAGATGTATAATGGTTGCAAATGAGACAACTATCCATCAAAGACAACAGGATGAGCATGTAAACATCTATAGATCCCTTTACAGCCTTTAACAATGAGCATAACATTTAGCGTATAATCAGCTGTAAAAGGCTCTAACATGACAAAATTAGAAACAATTCAAAAGAAAAAATCAACTGCTTGATTTTTGCTAAAAATCTTCAACAAATATGGATTACAACTGCAGTTCCCTTAGAAATTCATGAATGGATCATACATTCGGTATCACTGGTAGGCATATGGATGGCAATACAAATGGCTCCTGTTTTTCAGACAATTATATAAATATATAAACAACAAAAATAAACATGAAAATTTATTCCAACTGCTGCCAACAAATGCATGAATTAAAAAATATTTTATTTACATTGGAAAAACCAGTAATGAAACAAAAGTAAGAATTCATTATGTTGATACCATAACATTTGTACCATAAATTCGTTTGTTTTATAAGAATTAACAACATTGTACTTGTAAAAATAAAACCAAAATCAACAAAATTTCTTGCAATTGGTCAATTCTATTACTGTAAATTCAGAAATTATTGCGTGCATTTATTTTTGTGATTTTTGAAGAAGTGATAAAAGTGCAGGATTAATAACTGCAATTTCAAGAAAATCTGCAGACAGATGTATGTATCAGATAATAAGAATGTGACATCTTATTATTGCGATAATCACCAAGTTGCATTATTCACATTAATAAAAACCTAGCAATTATTTCTGAATTTACAGTATCATGATTATCAATTAACAAAGAAGAGTTTTAACTAACATCAGGTCATGCAGGTGTTGAATCCTAAATTGCCCTGGTGAATTTAGGAGGTCTTGGTCAATGCCCTAAATGGGCCTTGAAGTGAGGAACACAATAATAACATGTAAACATAATCTCTGGCATGATATTGGGCATCCTGGCTGCTATTGTCAAGAATTGACTGAACTTTACCATGTGGGCTGTTCTATAGTGCAGAGGCCAGAGGACCATAGAATAATGATAAAAAACCTATGGAGTTTTTAAAAGTTTGCAAAGAACTTAATTCTCAAAGAACTCCATTTGGTTAAATTGATATTTTTCACTAAAAGAAGATTTTCTGGGTATGCTAAATTGCCTTAAATTTTACCTCATATGGTACCCCCAAAAATCAAACCATGTGACTTGTCTTAGATTCAAAACAAGATGTCATTTTTAAGTTTGCTATGGACAAAGAAATTGAAGAAAATGTTACAATTATGGCCTACATGGTCTACCTGAAATGAATGTGTGCATATTGACCCATTTAGAGTAAAAATCACATGAATTAAGCTGTTTCACATATCTTAATACCTTTAGAAAGGTTAAAATAGCAACAGGTAAATTCTTTAAACAAAATTTATAACCAATTGCAAGAAAATTATTTAACATATGAGTTTTAATGTAATAGAATTCAATCAATAATGCCCATGATTTGCTTTCAGTAATACTAATATATCAATATACATATAACCTTCTAAAAGTATAATCTCTACATGATTTTATTCAAAAGTTATACAAAAATTATAATCTCAAAAACTTTTGTCATATTATGTACATATACAATATTATATTTCATAAGGTTGAAAGAACACCATTTCAGAAAAAGGATGGCATTTTCTCTGACACTCTCTACATATATATTTTGCAAGTGATGCATGATTGAAAAAACACCATTTCAAAATTATAATTTACCTCCAATCTTCAATGCTCTTAGTACACAACTTAGACATCTGAGAGCAATTTTAAAGAATTCTAGTCAAAATGGGAGATACTTTAAATTATAATTATACATTAAAGTAAAATAAAATGCTCCGCTGGGCGCAGCTTGATATGACCGCAGAGGTCGAACCCTGAACAGTTGGGGCAAGTATGGACACAAGCTTGATACAGCACTGAATTTGGATTGTGATTAAATATTTGACACAGCATAGGTTTCTGACACAGAATGAATGTGGTCTAAGAACTTAAAAAAATTTTAATTAACCAATTCAAACCATATAATTATTATTTGCTTTTATATATAAATCAGAAATAACCAATTTAAAATGGAAAATTAAAAAAAAAAAAAAAAAGGAAAAAAAGGAAAAAAAAATCCCCCTCCCCAATTTTTTGAAACCCCTTATGATTCATCACACCCAAACTCAATCCCAGCCTTCCCTTAAAATTCAATCCCAGCCTTCCCTTTGTGGTATGGTACCTTGCAGTACAATTTCAGAGAGATCCATACACTTGAACACAAGTTATTGTCTGGAAACTAGAAAAATGCTTGTTTTTTGGCCCCAAATTCCTAAACGTTTAGGGCAATTACCCCCAAACTCACACCCAGCTTTCCCTTTGTCATATGGAACCTTGTAGTACAATTTCATAAAGATTCATACACTTAAACACAAGTTATTGTCGTGAAACTAAAAAAATGCTTGTTTTTTTCCTTTTTTTTTGGCCCCTTATTCCTAAAATTTTGAGGCAATTTCCCCAAAAATCAATCCAAGCCTTCCCTTTGTGGTATGGTACCTTGCAGTACAATTTCAGAGAGATCCATACACTTGAACACAAGTTATTGTCTGGAAACTAGAAAAATGCTTATTTTTGGTCCTTTTTTGGCCCCTTATTCCTAAACGTTTTGGACAACTACCCCCAAACTCCATTCCAGCTTTCCCTTTGTGATATGGAACCTTGTAGTACAATTTCAGAAAGATCCATACACTTCCACACAAGTTATTGTCATGAAACTAGAAAAATGCTTGTTTTTGGCCCCTAATTCCTAAAATTTTGAGGCAATTACCCCCAAAATCAATCCCAGCATTCCCTTTGTGATATGGAACCTTGTGGTACAATGTCAGAGAGATCCATACACTAACACACAAGTTATGTCTGGAAGTTACAAAAATGCTTATTTTTGGCCCCTTATTCCTTAACTGTTGGTACCATAACCCCCAAAATCAATCCCAACCTTCCTTTTGTGGTATTGAACCTTATGGTAAAATTTCATAGAGATCCATTTAATTTAAAATGCTTAAACTAAAGTTATAGTGAGAAAACCAATGTATCTTCGGACGACGACGTCGACGACGACAACGACAACGCCAACGTCATACCAATATAAATTTTTGCGGATGTATAAAAATTGGACATTTAACAATGGTTTTCACCTCACTCGTTGGTACTTGCACATTTGAAAATCCAATAAAAGTAATGTAGGGGACACATTATTGCACTTTACAATCGATCAATTTAAAGACACAAGAACACAATGTATAAAAGGTCACAATATGGTCTTAACCTTTGATGAGCTTCCATCATGCCAGCCTTTGCTACATTGTGTAATTTCTAAATCCCCTAGTCTAGACTAGTTGCAAATGAATTTTCCATTTAACATGTTTAAAGGATAATCTTCCCTTGCAGTACTGAAAATATTATATACATGTATGTATATTATCCAAATGTCCTTAATCATTGTTAATTTGTAAGTTACATGATAAGAAGTGACTGTTATTATTACATTAATTGACTTCAGACATATCATAAGAGTTTAAATATCATAATTAGGATTTATAGGCATTTAAATCCTCTTGAATACCAATTTTCTAAAGTTATTCCTAATATTAACATGTCTTGATTTATTTAATGAAATAAATTTTAAACAGGTTTATACATGTTATGTATGTATATTGTTGCATGCAATTATTGAGAAATTACAAAAAAAGAAATTAAATGCAACTTGAGGAAATTCTGCAATAAAATAATGCTATAGCTGCTATTAGAATTAATTTGTGAATTCTAATGAATAGGATACCTCGCTTATATTTCCATATTTCACAATAATAAAAACAATGCAAACATTTCTGCGATATTTCATTCTACCATGGTTAGCCCATTCATGCCTTTACAGCACAATTTAAAAAAAAAATCAATGTTGAGTAGATCAAAGTTTGACATATTTGCAACTATTTATATTTGCATGATTTTTCTTCTCATAAAAGTCACATTTATAGACTAATAGCTATAAAGATTACTCATGAACATTGAACAAAACATGTTCTTATACAATAATACATGTACTTCAATATCCAAAAAAATATCATATTTGAAGTGAAGGATCATCACATGCATGTATGACAAGTGGAAGAAACATGAATAATACTGAAATGGACAGCAAACTATTTTCAGGCAAATATAAAAAAATCACTATAGTAGAATTTTCATCCCATTACTACTAGTGATCAGAATAGCTTATTTATTTGCAATTTGGATGTTCTAAGTTCTAACACCATTTCTGTTTGGAATTTATAAAAATGACATAAAATGTTCACCCTCTTATCATCGATCATCCCACTTATATACATCTGTACAATTCTGCATCTTTACAAACCCAGATAAATGGAAAATAATTACATACACAGCAACACATATTATGAAAGTTTGAAATGCATGTACATGAATTCAAAATTATTCAAAATACATCTTAGTCAAAATAGTAAGGAAATATACTGTACACACTAAATGAAAGTGATAGTTGATGTAGAAACAGGATTCTGCAATAAGAAAAAAATCAAATTTTATGTTAAATCACTAGCACCCTTCAAAAATTAAATAAGGATCATTTTAACTAGTAAAGGTAAATGATCGGAGGGATTATACTGATTTGGCAAATTTCCAAGTTCTTGAATTTCTCTGGATGACATGAGGCCCCAGCGACCTAACAGTCTGAGTTTGTCCTCCATAATATTGCTGGTCGTGTGCTTGTTTCGTCTCGTATGCACGTTCCTGTGTTGGACGCTGTAAAATATATAGTCCACTGTACAAGCATCTGCACTGTGTTGTGTTGTGACTTCACGTTCATAATGTCCCAGTCTTTCTATAGTGTGGCGATATGTTGATACTAAATTTAACTTATGCCATATACAACCAGAAGACTGTGACACAGCTGGATAGCTCCTATGTCCAAAGTTCTCCTGATTATGAGATCTCCTAGAAACATGTTTGTTTTCAGTTTCTATATGTTGACACTGGTCCGAAATGTTTACGTCTGACGGGAAAAAATCTCTTGATAAATATCTGTCTTTGCCATATTGCCCTTCTCTCTGGCCAGAAATAGTCCTCGTAAGTAATCCTTCATACCTCAAGAACCCTTGAACCATGAACTTATATAAGTCACTAAAAGGTGTGGCATTAAAATCCCCACACATGAGAACCTGACAATGACGATTTCTACTGGTTTTAGCAACTTTATCGATTTCTGCTAGAAGACACATGGCCTGGCCAAGTTTAACGTCCCCTCTCCTTGGATTAAATAATAAATGGGTATTAGCTACGCAAATAGAATCTTCCTCTGAATATGGATGTTTATGGGGTCTAAGTTTAACAATAAGACCAACATTGTCTCTGTCCAACAGACTGTAATTAGATTTATAGTAAGGCACCGAAACACTCTGTTCCAGAGTAAACTTTTCTCGTTTGTAAAATGTTGCACAGCCGTCTAATTTGTTACCAGTTCTTTTGACATACACACCATTGTAACCTAAAAATAAATAAACTGTTATCACAGAGATATGTCTCGCCTTTTTGTAATTTTGATAATGCAAATGTTGAAATTAATATAGCAATACTTTAACATGTAAGTTATGCAAATATTCAAAGTCGATGAACCATGACTGAAGGTACATGGCTAAACAATCTCCATGGAATGAGATGTGCCAATGCTAATACAACTACATACCAAATACCATTGACTTATCATAAGTCATTCCCTTTAAACAAACCTAAACACAAACATTAACTTGTAAACTATGTAAAAGTTTCAAAGTCAATGAACCATGATGAGGGGGTGGGGCTATATAATCTCCATGGAAACGATACTTGCAAATGCCAATAAATTTGCATACCAAATATCATTGACTTAACATTAGCAGTTCATCTTAAACTGATCTAATCACAAACTTATACATGTAAACTAAGCAAAAGTTTCAAAGTAAATAGACCATGACTGAGGGGGCGGGGCCAAATATTCTCCATTGAAATGAGATGTGCTAATGCTTATACAACTGAACATCAATTAACATTGGCCTACCACTAATGGTTCCCCTTGAACTAACCTAATCACAAACTAATACATGTAAACTAGGCAAAAGTTTCAAAGTCAATGACCATGACTGAGGGGCAGAGCCAAATAATCTCCAAGGTAATGAGATATGTGAATGCTTATACAACTGCATACCAAATATCATTGACCTACCACTAGTGGTTTCCCATTAACTGACCTAATCACAAACTAATACATATAAACTACATGTAAGCAAAAGTTTCAAAGTCAATAGACCATGACTGAGGGGGTAGGGCCAAATAATCTCCATGGAAATGAGATCTGCCAATGCTAATACAACTGCATGCCAAATATCATTGACACATAGTTAGCTATAAAAGGCCCCGAAAGTATTCAAAGGAGAAAACTAACGGCCTGATTTATGTACAAAATAATGTACGAAAAACAAATATGATATACTACAACAAACGATAACAACTGAATTACAGGCTCCTGACTTTATATCTTACCAAGCTGTTTCAGTTTAGGTTCCAAGAATTCTGTGTAATGCTGGTTATGTACTTCTTGTAAACATAATATCTAAAAGTAAAGTATTGAGATTGTAATATTAAATGCCATTAATGAAAATATGATGAAATACCTATTGATGGGTTGTTGTATGTGTACCATATCCCCTTTGATTCACATACTCACAGTAAATTCAGAAATTATTTGTCAGTTTTTATAAATGTGAATAATGTGATTCCCAATAATAGGAACTCACATTCTGATATCTAATACAATGTACATATATCTCTATCATGTCTATGCAACTTTTCCTGAAATCACAATTATCAATCTCACATTTTTGTCCATTCTTTAATAATCGCAATAATAAATGAACATGATGAGTAAATGCATGCACTAATTTCTGAATTTACAGTAATGTATAAAAAAAAAATGGTCAAATGAAGTGGATGGCACATTTTGGATTCTGCCACAAACTAATTTTTTTAACTGACTTTTTGAGTCTTTAGAAATCTCTAACCCCCTCCCCCGACAACGATACTTTTAATTTAAAAAATAATGCCTTGTTTTTCAGGAATAGTACGTACACCAAACACTGTAACACTTCAGCAATGTCAGAAAATTTCAAAACATTGAATATGTCATTCCTATAATGGTCATTGGGGATAATCTCAAAACAAATATTATTTTGTTATATTTTTTGGTTGCTGTCTCATTGTGTATTTATCCATGACTTCTTTTATTCACTACTATAAGATTTTTTGTTTTTTTTCTATTCTATTTGTTTTAAAGAAGAGGAAAATCATTTAAATGGGTGAAAAAAAACAGAGAATAAAGGACCCCCAAAAATAAAGATTAGAGAAATATAGGCAAAAAAAAAATGAAGAATAGCAAATAATGGGGTCATCAAATATAAAAAAAAAGAGAATAAAGGGCAAAAAAACAAGAATGGAGAAATGGAGACCCCTATTCAGACCCTCTGCATGCTCTATGTGCCCACTCCCATTGTATACAGGTTGAACTAATAAAATCCAGCAAAGCTGCACATGTAATGTGATCATATAAGATGATCATTTGTTTTTTAAAAAACAAATGATCATCCTATATAATCACATTACATAATATGAGCTGCATCCGATAGAAATCGACCTTATGCAAGTTCATGCATACATGTACATGTATTAGAATTTGATTAATTTTTAAACATTCAAATACAAAATAAAAGATGAATTTTGGTCTGTTTTGTAAGGTTCCCATATAAAATATAAAGCTTTTAAGAAGTTAGCTAACGCTGCCGCCACCGTAGCCGCCGCCGGATCACTATCCCTATGTCGAGCTTTCTGCGACAAAAGTCGCAGGCTCGACAAAAATAAAATAAAACTAAATAATTTCAGAGTTTATCAAATTGACTAATACAAATCACCATTTACAGTGTACTCTATCATGTCTATATATATAACCAGTATTTCCTGTGCTACAATTTTAACGAACATACTTATCTACGAGAGAAAGTGCTGTGTTGAGAAAAGTCATGAAAATGAACAATAACTAAAATAATTTTTAGTGTTACATGCATTTTAGTGTTTTTTGTCCTTTTAAAGAATTTGGTGTTGTCAATACCAGCTGAATACAGATTTCAATCATAATTCTAATATGGCAACCTACATGTATATATCGTCAACCAGTATAATCACTGTATATCTACTTTTAGTGCAAACACATTTTAAAAAAAGACACAAAATTGGCTGTTCTGCATTACGCCCACCTTATTTATATAACTAGGTAAATTGCGACAGTAAAACCCACGTTTTACGTAGACCAAGCTTCAAAAACAATACAGTTATCTTTTTTCTAATGTAAAATAAACAAATCAGTCCATTTCAGTTATTATTTTGGATTAAAATTTCATAAAAACGAAATTCCGGGAAATGATGTTAAATCCTCTTTGGCAACTGAACAAGGTGACTTCTTATGTATACTTCCGGCGTCAAATGTAAATACTGGACGTTTTTAGTCGTCAGAATGTAATAAAACTAGATAAAAAGAACATTTTTAGGTGAAAAATGTGATTTTTTTAATTTATTATTGCACAGCATAAAATAATCTATTAAAAACAACCCATGGTTAAATGAAAACAAATCTACGGCTGCCATGAATTATTTCTTAAACAAGCTAAAGGCTTGTCTATTGTTGAAGATTACATCATAAGCTAACCTCTAGATGTCTAGTGTCTAGAGATACATGAAGTTTATGTAGTATGTATTAAAAGGGTTAAATTTCTGTTTATTTTTGATACAACTTCTTGTACATGTTGTATGGAGCATAGTTCTTTATTCATTTATTTTCAATGTAATATATCTTAAACTTACTGAATGCTAAATTAATACTGCATAAATATGTATGCTCAGAAACAGGCCCTTAAACATTTGTTAAATTGGATTTTAATAAAGTATTCATATTCCTCTTCTTATTCATATTTAGATATAGTATGCAGCAATATAATGCTCATTTCACATCATAAAATTCATCATCAATACCTCAGCATTTAGAGCTTGAATTTCTTGCAGGAGTTTTTCAGATCTGTAATTCCAGTCTAGAACTTGTTGTGGTGATTCTCTGTATAGATATTTATTGTCCTCCAATAAATTCTGAGCCAGGATATTGTACGACATTATCGTGAATTCAAATCCCGGCCTTGGTCTTTGTAGTTGTTCTATACCTAATCTGGTCAGTTCCCACTGTCTGTTAACACCATACTCTACATCTGTAATATAATAGTCATGGGTTATTCCAATAAGACTCACCTCTAACAACAATACACATGTATGTGTGTGAGTAGATGATCTGATAGCTATATATGGATAGTTTCACAGGAGAATAAAGAGCATGATGTGTTGCTTATAATGTAAATGTAATACACATTTGTACTTAATTAAAAATTTTATTTGAATTTTTTTATATTTATAATTCATGTAATTTATTCTAGGCTTTTGTAGACTAGGGCTGTTTAGGGTAGGTGTGGATGCTAGTCTGTTGTTTCACTCTGTGTGTTGCCCTTCAGATGTCTTATGGTTATTTTTGTTGTTGAGTTTCTATCACATTGACAAATAGGGGGAGATTAAAAAGTTTTGCCCTACCCTACCATGGGCATGCTGGACATCTGTAACCAAGGAACACACAATGTATGACAAAAATGTATGATGCATCCAGGTCTTCTACCTTTTGAAATATTATACTTTTAGCAAACAATTTATGCTGTTGTCACATTCTGGAAGCTCAATGATTTGTTTTACACAATGTAAAGACAAATAACATGAATAACAATCCAGAATAAATGTAATTGAAATCATGAAAATTTGATTTTCAATAATACATTTTTGAAGATTTATAGAACTCATGCAGACAATAAACATGATAAAGGTACAGAAATGTAGATATATTGACATTCATCAATGTTCATTGACATTATAACAGTGTACTGAATTTTACCAAAAGTTGAATAAGGTGTAACAAACATTCAACATATTGTTAAAACCATGGAAGTATTATAATGACAGGAACAACTACAAAATGTATAACCCGACTTCAAATATTTCATCTGCAATGCCATGTGGCATTTTATGGCAGGATAATTAACATGAAACATGGCATGTTATTAAAACAACAGTGTGTGGCACACAGCCATATTGTCATTCTCTGTTGTTTCTCGCAATTACAGAAATAAACGAAGAAATTAAAAGTTGTCATAAGTTCTAAGGAAACAGCCGATAGATTAATGGATGTGTGCTAGACATCATTAAAAATTCTAGAAAAACACTTTGACAATGGAGACATGCACCATATGTTTATTGATTTATTTTTCTGTGAAAATTGCACTATGTACATTTTGTATATATGATGGGTATAAGAAGAATGTATTCGCTGAGCTGAGCCTGTGGATGAAAGTTTTTAAGCTTGTTATACTGTAGAATAATATAAATTAGTATCATTTGGACAGAAAGTGATAGCATATTATATGAAATAGAGATGGTTTAACCATGTTAACCATTCAATAACATTTTATACATGTATGTCTCAGTTTTTACACAAATTAATAAATATGGGTCAAATAATAAGTCATAGTTGGCACATTCATACATATTAAAATAGAAATACTGTCCCTGGCTGTATATTATCAGATCAAAGTCGTTCAGATAAGAATATCTGAGCAGTTTTGAATTTCACAATAGGAAAAAAAATAAAACACAATTATCAATATATATACAATTATATACATATATATATTAAATGAGGTGTGGTGTGTCTTCTTATTTTTACTGTTTTTGTTCTATAAAATTACTTTGTGTTATTAAGAATTTGCTCGATTACTTTTTTTGTATTTTAAACATTTTTTTACCTTTTTTAACATGAAACTGGATGTGACATACTATGTTTGGTGGTATGACACCTTAAAGGTGTTTTCATATCATGAATTACATGGAATTTGTTTTAAAAAAATTCTGTTCAAAGAAAATTATTCAACTTGTTCAACCTGTGACTTTGTGTTAACCTAATTAGATAAATATATATTACGGCTTTATATACTATAACATATTATGTCTTTTAAATAAAACCTTTTCATTTTACAGTTAAATAATACATTTGTACATTTTACACTCTCTACATGTACATGTACAAAAATGTACATGTATATGTCATGCATGTAATAAAATCAACTAAATAAACATGTACCTATTTGTTCAACCTTGTTTGGACATTTTATCTCCTCAGCAAGTTCAAGTATTTCTTCAGTTTTAGTTCGAGCTACTTTAAAATTAGATTCTCCAGACAAATGCACTTTTCTTTTTTGAGATACAGTTGCATGAAAGCTATTTTCCAATAACCCTGATGAAAATGGAATTGATCTTCGATAATAACGATCCTTTTTATACTGAAATATTTCCTCTTGTACTTCATGTGTACAAGATTTCATTGTACTCCCAACTTGCATAATGGCCGGATCATCTAATACATTAGTGTATTTTTTGCCAGTACACTTTTTCTGCATTCCCTTATCCTCGGAACCACTTGAGTCAAAATTTTCAATGTTTGATTTTCTTTCTTCCATTTTTTGTCTTTGATTATAACATTTGTGGTTATCTAATAAATTATCTTTTTCAGTTTCACAGGAATTACTTAAACTTGCACCAGTACATGTAATTGATGACCTGGTACTAACACTAACAGTTCTCTGGTTTACAAGTCTCCCCAATATACAAAGTCTGCACTGCATTTTCGAAAACATCTTTCTCAAACAAAGTAAATACCACAAGTGACTTGACATCCATTCTAAAAATACTTATCATAATACTACTAAGGTTCAAAAAACCCAATAAGCTTTAACCTTGACCTCTAGGATTAAAAATAGGATATCTTCACCAATATTACCAATGATTACATGTACATGTAGTGTTTCACTATTGGGCTGCCTTATTGCAGAATTCTTTAATATACGTGGTACTATTTCAAAAAATTAAATTAACGTTTTGCTGTGAATAAAATTGAATAAATGTGACTTTTAAATGTTAGTTTCACTTTAAAACAAGTTTTATCGCATGGTTATATATTTTCGTAGACTTCGGCACTTTGTGATGATTTTTTTTAGTTTTCTCTCACATTCCAACTAACGTGTTCTTATTTTGAAAACATTGGCAGTGTGCCGGAAAGTTTAATAAACAAAGCAATCACTTATCAATCACTCCTTTGCCATGCATGTACTCGGGTTTTCGTCCTTGATGATAATAACACACAGGTCGATTACGGATTTAAAATTCCGTGTTAACCGAATAATGTCACTAACCTTAGAAATCCTTAGAACCTTTCAATAGATCTTCAATAAGGAACACTAAGTTATACTTGTGCGGTTTATATTAAAGATTCTATATCGACCCATTTTTTAAACTGTAAAAAGGAGTGACGTTTTAAATCTACATAGAATAGAAAACTTAAAATTCATTGTTGCTTCTACCATAGATATAATGGCTATTATATCTATGCTTCTACAGACCACCTTCAGACACGGGTTGGACCGTTCTCCGACCTCTTCTCCACTTGAAGAACTTAATATACATCTAAGCCGTACAAAAGGGAACTCAAAAGCTACTATAATTGTAGGGGGAGATTTCAACCTTGGTCATATAGTCTGGCAAATACCATCAGTAATTCCTGGAAAGCCAGATAATAACTTGTGACAACATCAAATTCTTATTGACATAATAAATGACCACTCTCTGGATCAAATAGTAAACAAACCAACAAGAGGTGAAAGAATACTAGATCTCATCTTAACAAATGCACCAAACATCAAAAATAAATGGAATTAATGCTACCTATTGGGCCTGAATGCAGATCACGACATCGTATTCACTGAATGTACAACATCACTGAAAAGAAACAAAAATCAAACAAGAAAAATCCATCAATTCAAAAAAGCAAACTGGGAAAACATTAAATTAGACATACAAGTACTAGAAGAAAAGATCAAAACAATATATGATAAAAGTAACACCAATGAACTATGGCTGACTTTCAAAGAAGACCTTATAAAAACCATCAGTACTATCATACCACAAAATCAAATAACACACAAAATGAAATTGCCTTGGATCACAGAATAAAAATTTACATAACAAAACGTCTGCATAAAAAATCAAAAAAATCAACAACTGCAAATTAAATACAAACATATGAAAAGAACATTGCAGGCAGACATGCGCTCGGCTTATTGGCATTACATTGAAAACATGATCATAGACCTTCCAATTGAAGAACTTGGTAGCACCAACAAAAAGTACACCGTCACCTAAAAACCTGTTCTCATATATCAACGGCATGAGAAATTATCATTCTCAGACTGGTGTAGCTGCACTGAAAAAAGATGGATTGCTCATAACAAACACCAAAAATAAGGCAAAAATCCACAACGAGCAATTCCAAAATGCATTCACCACTAAATCATTTGCAAACCCAATACCAGTAAAAAAAAGTCATCATCACATGCACACATGAATGTAATTAAAATATCAGAAAAGTGCGTCAACAAATTACTGCATAACAGTAATACAAATAAAGCCACAGGCCCTGATGAACTATGTGGAAAGGTATTAAAGGAAATGAAAGGTCATCTTAGTCCTATCATCACACTCATCTTCCAAAAGTCTATTAACACTCATAAAATACCTACAGACTGGAAACATGCAATCGTCTGAACTGCATTCAAAAAAGGAGACAAACACAATGCCATAAGTTACAGACCAATTTCACTTACATGTATACTTTACAAAATAAATTACAATACTATGGAATAGACAATAATACCTTGGAATGGATTGGTGATTTTTTACATCAACGTACACAGACAGTCATGCTAGATGGAGAACAATCAGAAAAAATCGAGGTAACATCTGGAGTGCCACAGGGCACCGTCCTTAGCCCAATTTTATTCCACATTTACATAAACGATTTCCCGGAATACTTACAGCATAGCATCTTAAGGTTATTTGCCGATGACAGCATCATCTATAGAAACATCAAAAACAAAGATGATGCATCCAAATTACAACAGGACTTAGATTCAGCGGCACAATGGGAAAAAGACTGGTTAATGTCATTCCATCCAGACAAATGCTCCATACTAAGAATTACACCCAAAAAAAATGAAACCAGTCAACCATGACTGCATCCTTCACGGTCACATTCTTCAAACTAAAACAGCTACAAAATATTTAAGCATAACCATTCAATCAGATCTCAAATGGAATAAACATGTAGATAGTATAACAGCAAATGCAAATCGACAGCTAAATTTTCTAAAACGTAACCTAAAAGTATCATCCAAACAAATGAAAGAAAGGGCATACATGTCGTTAGTTAGACCTAAGCTTGAGTACAGCTCTTGTGTCTGGGGGACCCTCACAACAAAAACCAAAACAATCAAATTGAGATGGTCCAACAAAGAGCTGCCGCTATACATGTAATAGATACCACAATACCAGCTCTGTCTCAAATATGCTTGAACACATACAGTGGCCTACATTACAGTTGAGACGATTACAAACAAGACTAGTGGTTTTCTATAAAATTATACACCAACATTTAGCAATCTACCCTAAAGATCTTCTCATTGAATCAGACAGCAGAACAAGACATAAGCATACCAGCCACTATAAACAAATTCAAACCAATAAAGATTCTTACAAATTCTCATCTTATCCGCACACAAGAGTACAATGGAACCTACTTCCAACTTCAGCAATCCTTTGTACAACAGTTGACGGCTTCAAAGAGCAGATTTCTATATCTGCTCTTTCGCAAATATTCTAAACACTGCATAACATGTACATAGTTTTACCAAGAAATATTCATAGGATAAAAATCCACAAATTTTTTTAATTAAATCACTGTTATATTTTTTATTTTTTTTCTGTTCACCAATGTAACATAATATAACTGAAAAGTTTATTTCTTTTAAATTGTAAATAAGCCACGCATGCAACGGCAAGTAATAGTCAAAGTTGTGACTGAGTGTTGAAATACGAAGATAGATAGTTTAGTTAACGCAGATACCATGGTATAATTTCTGTATTGTAATATGATGTCTCTTATTATATATAGTTCCAGCATCAATCATGAATACACAATCATGACCTAGCACATTTAGCCAGATACATACACCCCAGAGAGGCTGAAGCTAATATAAAGCTATATAATAAACATCACAAAGCCTTCATGCTAGGACTAAGGTGCGAAGTCCAATACTGATTTGTTTGCCGGGTAGATTGTTTTGTAAACTATATCATTCAGATCTCCGTGGTATTTCGCAGTCCAGTATTGGTGAAAGATCATCTAGTGTTCTGCGGACTAAGAACAGCTATCCTTCATTCAAATTCATTTAACTTTTAAATTTTTTTAATTAATTTCATTGACACGGACACGTACCCCCCCCCCCTTTTAATACTTTCTATTCGGAACAATCCCACTGTAGACGTTTAGTTTTGTTGTAGTGGGCTTGATATATGCCTCTGGTGTAATTTCCCACTTTAAATTGTTCTTAATGGTTATCAGTCCTTTTTTTTGAACCAACAGAGTTAGTTTTTTTGTTGGATGTATTGTAATTCTGTCCTGTCTTGCATTGCGCAGAGCCAGTATACCTACTAGCATAATTTAAATAAGGTGTAGACTAAATTAAAGTAATTATGGCTAGTTTCGGTTCACCACTAATAAATATGTGGGATATACGTCAATGAGAAAATAATCTAACCACTTGAAAATGAACTAAAAGATATTATTGACAGATATAGAGCTACATAGTCCTCAACAATAAACAGGTGTTATATTTACTATAAATTTTTAAAACTCTAAATAAATCCGAGTCTATACAAATTCTAAATGAATTGAACAGAAACAATTCAAGATCTGCAATTTACCGAAATGCACATCTGGTGTATCAAATTTACATCATTTGATTTTTTTTAGGAGTGAGGATTGTTGGAACAAAATATTCTATACCATATATTCCGCAAGGAATAAATCCTGTTATATTTGTTCCAGTGAAAACAATAATACACAATATTTCTTCCACTTGGAAATTTATTATGAAGGAACTTCTATTTCATGACATATTGATTAATATATGTCGACCAAACTTCATCTACATCTTTGGTATTTTCTCGTTCAGTTTCTACAACTAGTCACTGGACCTACTATTCCCTGTGTGCTATATTGTACAAAACGGGATATTTTTGGATATTCCTTCATGAGACAGCAAACCAAAGATACAAATAACATAAAAAAAATCAAATGGCATGTGCATTAACTTACCTGTATACTTGTGTCTTTTTCTTCCAGACATGTTTTTATACCTTATGTATATCTTATTGGTAAATATATGTTGTGTACATCTCTTATAAAGGAATCGTAACATTAATCATTTCATTTATTGAAGACCCCCATTCCCTTACATAACTGCTTCCTTAACAACGTCTGTGACGTGTATAATATTGTTTTTACGTCCGATGCCCCTTGAAGGCACGAAACAATTTGTTACGCTGATGGACATGTTCTCCAAGAGAATCATGGTTAACCCTGGATGATTATTGAAATAACTCCTTAGCAGAGGCGGATTTATGGGGAGACAAGGGGCCCGATCCCCCTTCAAGTATTACTCCAAATGTTGGCTTTCAAGTTCCGCTTTTTTAAATCCTGGATCCGCACCTTTTCAGTGTTGAATCTTTACAGATGAATTGCTCTTTAAGTCATTTTTTTTAAATTTTAATCATGGTTTTGTTAGCTCCTTTCTTATTACGGCTTCTGTCTGCCCATTGATATTGGTTTGATTTTCGTAAGAATGTTCAAATCAAGTTTTGTTTCAATTTTGTACACATTATTTTTCAGCATGCCCTCCTCCCCCTTTTTTGGAACTCTGTATTGACGGACCAAAGTTAACTGATATCTGGCCTACTATCAAGCTATTTCGTTCAAATAAGGGATCCCGATCTATAATTGTGTTATATAAATTTACTGCACCAGATGCGCATTTCGACAATTAGTGTCTCTTTAGTGATGCTCGAGGCCAAAATATATTCGAAAACCCAAAACTTATTCAAAATTGGAGATCTGATAAAACCAAATAGGAGAAAAAGTATAGCCAAAGTCGGACAAGAAATCAGAGGTTTGCATGAGGGAGATATATTCCTTAAATTAAAATCATTTCCAAAATTTTGTAAC